CAAGGGGGCAGTGCTGTGGTCAGAGGCGCTGGGCTGACGATCGAAAAACGGTGGTGGGAAGGCTCAGGTCCTGGCTGCGAGTCAACTCAGCTGAATTAAAAACCAAAAACCAAAACTTAGTGGACATTTTTAAAGTGGCTATCCTACGGACGGAACGTTACTTGCCATGGGAATGTGGAATTTCCACGATTGGTTCAGTGCTGCTGTTGATGGAGATGAGCGTCGCCCTGCTACTTACTCATTGGTCTATGGATGGAGACTGCGGTTTCTTTCTTTTTTCCGTGGCTTAAAAGGTGACAATAAATGTCACCAGTGGGATCGTAAAACAACGTCAAGAGTTTGGATTGGCTATCAAACAGAGGGTTGCCGCCTGCCCTGGCTTTTTCGAAGACATCTTATTAATTGAGGTAGTTGGTCCTGGCAAATCTGAAAGCGTTCACCATGACTTTAAGAGTTGCGTAATCGTACGCCACTCACGACATTGCGATCGCATGCAGTTCTCCCCTCTCGTGGTGTTGTGGGATGTTCTTCTGTCCACGATGTGTCTTTGTTTTTTTATGTGGAGCCTCAGAGGCCAAAGAAGTAGCCCTGTTTTAAAACCGCAGAAAAGTCCAGCCCTGCGTTCGCAGCCGTGACTCAGCGTTACAAGGCGGGGGAGGGGGGGGGGGTTCAACGTGTCACAGCTCATCGTGGAAGTGGCGAGAGCTTACATAGTCAACATTTCACTGGCTTGTTTGAGAACAGAGAGAAGTGGGTGTCCAAGGGGTCAAAGTTAAGGTCTCTGGATGCGTGACCTCACTTCCCAACTCTCTTTATTATGACATTCATGAGAACGGAGTTCAACGAGCCAGGAATGAGGTCTAAAGTAAACAGGTTCAGTTCAAACAAGCATTGAAGAGGGGGTCTGGGTACATTCTCCTTCGCAGGTGGATGGCCATGTTATACAAGCAGTATTCATAACAATACGATTTTGGGGGTGTTAGTCATGGTGCAACGGTTAGCGCACTTCACTGTGAACCTGACCGACTGCGTTCGATTCCCAGCCACGGCTAACATCGGCGGCGGGGGTTAAAATTACAGAGCCGCTTTGGGGCCTCCACCTTTTGACCAAGCCACAGTGATCAGCGTGGGGGGGGGATGTATGATCAAAGAACCCCCGTGACTCAGATGGCATTGGCGAGGCCTTCATACAGAAGTGGTTTAACAAAGGGCTGGTTAAACAAACAAAAAAACAGTTGACATTGCGTGGGTTTCCTCCTCGACGAGTCTCCGTCACTGGGTAATGTGACCACAGTGGTGTGGTTAGGGGTTAAAGCGCAGCAACATCCGACCACATGAACCACCCGCCATTGCTTGTCCAATGGCCACAAACGTTTTGGGAAAGCCCATTAAAACGCCAAACCGAAAGCCTTCAAGGTCAAGAAACCTCACGTGACCTTCACGTCAAAATTAAATAAGTTGGGGAAGAAATGCATTGTGGGCGTAATGTTGCATCATTTCATTGAGACACGTATTCTTAAGCCCAAGATACATACATCGAATCACGTTGAAGAAATTAGTTTATATATCTTATATATAACGGGGTTCACATCACCCCTGCTAATCCACACGAAGCCTGTGACCAAAGTGTTCCTAAATGCGGTCGATCATCAGACTTCAGAAGCTCAGCGGGGTTGCGTCTGGATTGTACTTGGATGGTTGACAAGGTTTAACAAGGCTTGCCAGGTGTTGTAGGAGCTGGGTTGCAAGATGTGGCCAGGAAATGGTTGTGCCGAGTATTACTCCTCTGTGTATCCATGCTGGGTTCTCTCCGGGTACTCCGTTGGTCCTCCAACCACGACGCCAAATCCTCAGTCGCGAAACTCGCCAAAACATCCCAATGAAGGACCCTTCTGAAAAAAGTACTGCGGTTCAGTGAGGCTTCTCCGAGTAAATAATTGGCGTTTTTTCCTCTTCTTATCGTTATTAGTATTTACAAAACAAAGCCCCTTTGGCTTACGCTACATTGCCACGATTGTGTTCAGCAGAGAGCAATATATCACCCCTGCAAACGCACAATGGCACGCTCTGTTATCAACCGCTGACAATTGCCAACGCTCGGTAAGCCTCGCTGGGAACATTCCATCTAACGTGTTTGCTGCGGGGGGGGGGCGCTGGTTGAGGCTGCGGCGAGAGATCAACGTTTAGAAAAAAACGCACAAGCGGAATGGCGCCTTAACGTGTTTCTCATCATCGCCGCCGCTGCCCCCGCCGCCTTCCGGCCTGATGCGGAGGCTGTGAATTATCAGGAGCTGGGAATGCATTCGGAGGGCGCGCGGCGGGAGGAAACCGGCCGCGGGGTTGGAGATCGCGCGACCAAAAAAAACCGCACGGAGCTTGAGCGGATCCAAGGCGCAGGCGCCGTGCACCGAGCGCCCGCGTAGGGCAGCGTCACCGGTCAATGTCAGTGCTCCCCCCCACCCACACCCCCCCGGGGGCCGGCTGTTGAATAAGCGCGCGCACGCGCGTGCACGCGCATCCTTCACATCAATCATCGCCCGCCGCCCGATGAGACCAATGGGCGTCAAAGCAGCACCGCTGCTGCGGTGGCGGAACGACGCGCGCAATTGTGCACACACGCACACACATGCGCACACACGCACGCACGATCCGCGTGCACGTGTGCACAGACATCCGCGTGCACGCAGCTGCACAAGCGCCAGCGATGCATTAGACAAAGACTCCCCGTGCTTTAGCCTCCGAGGCTGCATGGAGGCAGGCGGGCTCGTATTAAGCACGGCACTGTTGAGGGCTGCATATGGAAAAAATGGGACCACGCCAAATTCTGTGGTGTGATTTTTGGGTATACACGGCACATTGTTCCGTACGATGTCCGACGTTTCGTGGTGAAGTATGGCCAAACCATCCTTGTGACCGACACGGGGGTCTTCATCCTGCAGTGATTAACAACACTATCGTTCGCATTCAGCATATTAGTAGATGAGTAATACATATATGAGTGCGTCCTTCTTATCATCCTTAAAAAAAAAATCACATCACACAACACCACATTAAATAGGGCCTAGGGCTTTGTTGCAGTCCCGAAAGTTGGATAACTTCACGCATCCCCATGCAAACGCTTTTAATCCCTGAAGGCAGGATCAACCGAACAATATCTTTCATCCTCCCAACGCCGCCGCGTGAGCTCTCGGGTCGTGCCGTTGGGCACGATGCCCGAGGTTGTCGCTGCACGTGCCGGGGGAGGCTTCTTCGTTGGAGAACTGCGGAAGCTTCGGGAGCTGAAGAATCTCCCGGCAGGTGGAGCGTAAATAGCACGACGTGTCGGAGCCTGTCATCCAAAAAGGTCATTCCGGTTCAACTCGATCACGTTCGCAAAAACAAATTCGCTCGCTTCGCAGAGACGGAGAGAGCGGTGGAGGGGGGGGGGGGAGCTGGCACACGCGGGCAGCCGCACATTTTACAAACTTACGACGTATAAAACATTGATACTTATTTTATTTCTTTTGTTTTGAAACGAACATAAAAACATTGATACGCGGAAACGCCGACTTGGAGAGAGCGCGGTAACTCAACTTTGACTCGCCGGGGGGGGGGGGGGGGGGGGAGAGGGGGGGGCGGGCTTTTAGATTTATATCTGTAAAGCCTCATTTTTAATTCATGCCTGCCACTCCCCACCCCTCCCGATAAAAGCGGACGCATCAGCACAAACGGCGATTGAAACGCTGAGAACCTTTACGACGACGACGACCCAAGCGGCACAAATAACGTCCAGCGGATGAGAGCCAAGGGCTGGAAGTTGGGTGACAGGGCCCCCCCCGCCGCCCGCCGCCCGCCCCCCACCCCCACACCGTTCCCCATCACGATAGCAGCCAGGGACCACTCAAAGGAATCATGAAAAAGCGAGAGGTGCAGCAACAAAAACCGGGGGGGGAAGGGGGGGCACGAGGTGAGCCTGCTGTGTTTTCTTGTGTAAAACGAAAACAATGTTTAGTTATTTGGAGCAGATAAGGCCCCACTGAGCTTACTGTGCAGCTCTTTTTGGGAAGCGGCCTGGCCACCACTCGCGATCGATCGCTCGACCAAGCGGCTTATCATCGCGCGTGAACATTTTTACAGCGGCCGAATACTCTAAACGCAGGTTTCTAAATGTGGGGGGGGGGGGAAGCGGAGGGCCCGGAGGATAAAATCCACGCGACCACGGGGAGAGAGACAGGCAAAATCCAGATATACAGCAGGCGTCTGGGTCGGGATTGAACCCCCGGCCTCCTGTATACCAGGTGAGGTAGTTAACATCTCCTGCCTACTAGATATTTGTGATACAGTGTTTAACTGTTCATCGAATTCCTCCAGAATAAATAAATTCTGATTCTGATAAATCGGGCACAGCAGCGTTGATCGGCAGGCCGCGTGTGGTGGGGTAAAGTGTGGGTGCTCCCGGCCCATCCAAGATGTTCTGGCCAGCGTGGAAGAGTAGGCCAAAACGCCCTTTCGAGGGGCTCTGTAGATCCGCCTCGAGTGGAGGGCCCTTTCTGCCAGCAGTGCCACGAGCAAGCAGTTGCAGGGCTGCATCTTTGCCTTCTACCTTTTCATCATCTCGGAAGCTGGCGGCCACGCGCACGTGTGTGGAGGAGCGGTGGCGCAGCGGTTAGCACCACGCTGCGCTACGAACCCGGCCACCCGGGTTCGCTTTCCTGCTCAAGGCCACCAACACCGGTGACGATTATCTGAACCAATTACGGGTCTCCCCTAGGTCGACTCTGCCTCAAACGAGTACCTGGTGCTGTGTGTTAACATCGCCACTGGAGAGACAAAGACGGCTGGACCTGGTGCTAGACCCCTACCCCGTCGTGTGCCGTGCCAGCCTTCGTAGCTTTTGCTTGCTAACGGCACTTGCCCCAACAGTCTGTTGAGGCTACACGAGGGATCTTTTGTCTTTGTGCCCGCGTGTGCGGCGCGTGGTAACGGCTCCTCGCGTCTGCTGTCGTGTCGCCGATGGTCAGGACCCTGCAGCCGGAGCCCGTGCCACAACGGCGGCAAGTGCGAGGTGCAGGCGATGGGGCGCGGGGACTCGCTGGAGGAGCCGTTCCGCTGCTCGTGCGCGCCCGGGTTCAAGGGAGATCTCTGCCAGGAAGGTACGACGGTGGCGGCGGCGATGACGCGACATGACGTCACTGCCGTGATGACGAAGGCGACGATGACGACAACGATTCGACATGACGACGATGCCACGACGATGACGACAATGACGATGACGACGACGATGACGACAATGACGACGACGATTACGACAATGACGACGATGACGACGATGACTCGACATGACGACGTTGCCACTTTGACAACGCCACGACAACCGTGCCATGATTATGACGACGATGATGCCACAACGATGAAAACGGCGACGTGCCAACGCCACCGAGCCAATCCTCACTTTTCATTTTGTTGGTTTTGTAACTTTTCCTGAAATTCTATCGCGTCACTGATGAAGTGTTCCGTCAAGATCGTTGCGTGCGAAATGCGTTGGGGCTCTCTCTTGGCTTTCATTTGCACCGAGCAGCATCTTTTTTTTTTACTGCGGTGTACATTCGAGGACACAATGCTGCCCATGAACATGAATGTAGTTGTGAGTATATTAACCCCCCCCCGCCCCCACTAGTAATGATGGAGTGGCAGTCGAGGGATGGATCACATCTCAGAGCACGTGAAATTAGGAGATGGAACGATGAAATTAGTTTACGTGCAGGGTTAGGGTTGCATTGTTGCATCGCAGAGCCGTGGGAGGTGGCGACGGTTTGGGGCGGCCTTCATCCAGCTGTGCATTCATCGCGGCCGATGCTGATGATGGATCGCGCAACGGATCGCCATCCCTCGCATCAGCTGCATGAGCATCCCCATCCACGCGAGGCTTCCCCTCGCCGTGGGATTTTGGCTCCACCAATGCACAAAGGACCGTCCCCTGCCCCGCGTGAACAATGGAAGGCACCGCGCAGATGAAGCCCCTTCATCAACTGCAGCGGCCGGGAGGGGCGATGTGAGTGGGGTGGGGGCGGTCGACCGCTCATGACAACGGCGGCGAGACAAAGGAGCCGACAGACTTGTACTCGGGCGCTTTGTTTGTCAACGGAGCGACTTGCCAATGTGGGTGCATCGCACGCCACACGGAGCGAGCGAAGGCGGACGCACACGCCGGCGGTGACAGACGGGCGTCCGCTGGAGCCGGGGGGGGGGGGGGTCGGCATCCTGCGGCCCCCGGAGCGGCATGCGGCTGTTCATGAGCTGCTCCGTGACGTCGTGTATTGAGGACCACCGCCACCTCGGATTCATCACGTGCATTGCGGCTCTTGAAATGTTGAGGTTTTTTTTTGTTACAGAATTCTAAAACAATGGCTCTTCTTGTTATTTTGGTGGCCGACCCCTGCACTAGAGGGAGCTCGAGAGAGCCTCTGTGGGAGGGTGCATTGGCCTTCTCTTCCACGCCGATCAGTCAGCTTTGAAGCTCGACTCTCTGGTGTTCCCCTTTTTTGCTGCTGGGTTGACGGCGGTGGAGGGAAATTCTTTAAAAAAACTTGTCCCAATATTTCCCCTGCTGCTGCTGCCGCTGCCACCTGCGGAGTGGCATTGAAGCGACGCCCTTCGGATTGCAAGTCCAGCTTTACCGTGCATGCCATGTGGGCATTAGAATATTATCGCTTCCTATGAAGTTAGTGCAACTCTTTTCATTTGCGTGTTCAAGCGCCCGATTCGCCCAAACCTTTCAAGCAGTTGGCCGTGCAACGCCCGCGGGTGATACTTAATCAAAGCTTAGCGACTCTTTCACGCGCTCGCTCCATCGCAGCGACGTCGCTCTTCCGGACGAAAGCTGCCACCGGTCGTACGCCCCGACAAGCCCCGCGCTAACGATGCCCGGGCTCTCACCGCACATCCCTCGCGTGTCCACACACGCACCGCTACCTTTGAACTGCAATGCAGGGAAAATCACCCGCGGGTCTCTTTTGAGTGTTTGTTGCTGGAATTGCTGGGCAACCTCCAACTCCTGCCGCCAAATCCCCTTGCCACCCCCCGTGCCCGAGGCACTGGCACCAGTTTGTCAGGAAGTGTTTCAGTTCACTCCGTCCACCAACAGCTGCTCCTCCAGTACAGGAGCCGATGTGACACTCAGCGTTGTCGGTCCAGGCTGGGAACAGCTGCCATCAATGTGGACGAAACTAAACCGATAAGAAACGTTAAACGCCACACGGAATTACTAACGGCACGATGCTTTAGCAATATTGTATGTATATTGAACTTCTTTCACGCTGTACATAGCCAACCGCGCTAATCGTAGATGCGTGGGAAAGGCTAAAAACTAAACACAAATAGCAGCTGAGAAGAAATACGTTTTCAACCGAGATTTAGAAGTGCATAGCTCCAGTGGCTTCCTAATATCGGAAAAAAGGAGAGCATTCCAGACAGCGACAGATGCGCATCTGTAAAGTGCTATGGACCTACTGTTGCTGCTGCTGCTGCTCCGTGTGAAATCCACTCAGCTTAGGGGGGCAGAGTGGGGTTTTCCATCTGCAGCCCCGGTGACCTGGAACGGTCTCTGCCAACTGAAGTCCGCTCAGCTGTGACAATCGGTCGTTTTAATACCGGACTCAAAACATTTCCTTTCACTTGTGTTTCATTTAATTTAGTTTCAAATGTATCTGTGCCATCCGCGTGTTTTGTCTCGGCCCTTTTTACGGTTGAATATGGCAGGTTACAACCTAAAACTAAACAGTTTTTTTTTATTTTACCAGGCAATCTATCGTTTGGCCACATCACTTGGCCACGGATGACAGCTCAACAGAGTGGCTTATCACGTGGACATTTCTAGCAGCCAAATACTCTAAAACGCACGTTGATTCTAAATGTGGAGAGAAAAAAATCAGAGGACCCTGAGAAATACCAATGCGAACCCATGGGGAGAGAAACACGACAAATCCAAATATATACAGGGGTCAGGCTCGGGATCGAACACATGACCTCCTGCATACCAGGCGAGGTCAAATCTTGGATCGAGCTCGCAGTCAGACGTCTCCGAGCTCCTTGTCCACAGTTGATTCCGTGTGCTACATCCTGATGGTGGGGAGGGATCACAGTGAGTACCGCTTTGTTGGAACACATTGGCCATGCTCTGGATAGACCCCCCCCCCCGTGGCATGAGAATGCGGAATTTCCACCACTAGCTCAGCTCAGCCAACAGGCGTCCGTTGCACGTTATTGTTGCCGGTTCGTGCAAAAAGGCACTTAGGCGTTTCGTTTGACGTTCGGTTCACGAGTTTATATCATCCTGAGAGGGGAGGTGAAAACATTACCGCTTGTAAAAACGGAATGACGGCCAGTGTGAGAACACATTGTTCTCGCTTCCATGGGCATTATTCACAATTCTGAAACTTGACTCTGGCACCAAGCCAAAGTGTATGTTCCTTATATGGGTTCCCACAGCAACAACGCTGTGTGAACCTGAATTATATAAATGGGATCTGTTGGAGTAATTGATCTTTAGTTTTATAATAACTCTTCAAGATGTTTACTACCAGGTTTACGTTTTTTTTTGTATCAGGGTTGCTGAGCACAGACCCAAAACGCCAAGCGGCCTACACCAAGCGACACGATCAAAGTTGCACTCCAAAGTATTTCACGTTTCTTGATCATGCTAAGCTTTGCTTTGTTCTCGTTTGCTAGCCCTGCTGGATAGTTCGGAGATTAGGCTGGCTAGCTAGGAGATGATTATATATTCGTCTTTTCAATGTTCACGTAATAAGCTTGCGGGTTGTCACTTACATTGTTGAATTCGAGGGGAAGGATTGTATCGGCCCGTGAGACTGCACTGGCCCACGGATGTGGAGTGGCTCCAGGTCAGTTGGACAGCGAGCTCCATATCGGGTTGTCGTAACTACAGGTGACATGTGTGCACGTGTAAAGCCACCGGATGTTGGGTCCTCTCCCCTTGGCAGGCAGCGTGAGGGATGCTTGACCGTAATGTCATCACGCGCGCCAGTGCAGTTTGGTGAAGGCGGGCGGCAAGGACTTGAGCATTCAAAGTACGGCACAGCAATGACTTTTGCTCTAATGCCCTCTGCTGCCTGCCGGCTAGCCACACAGCAGCCGCTTCAACAACCCAGGCTGCGTGGTGGCTATCCAGGCTCAACTCTGCTCACCATTCCGGGTGATTTGGTCACGTGGGGCGCAGTTGACGTGGCGTGTGTGATGAAACGACAGGGGGGGGGGACAATGCGGAAAGCGGAAGACAGAATTGAATGCACCTGTGGGAGGACGTGCTGGCAAGGAAACCTGGGGTGGGACTCCACTGGCTACACGGGCCTGGAGCACGACGACGCTGCATCGGTCAGTGTAGAGTTGACTACGCGGACTGTGCAGCAGAGTCATCAAGGAGCAGAGTAAACCATCACGCGAACAACTCCGGTCACCATCCTTTCAACAGCGGCGGTGGCTTTTAGCTGGCCGTCGAACAAAGACGGTCACCGCTATCGCGCGCTTTCAGATGCGCTTCTGCGGCCGTCTGGAACGCTCTTCCTTCCGATATGTATTAGGAAGCCACTGGAGCTGTGCACTTTTAAATAATCTAGATTGAAACTCAATTTATTGAGAACTTCTTGTTGCGTCTAGTTTGTTGTCCTTCCCCGCCGGCACCTCCGATTGGCACAGTTGGCTATGTCCGGCGCGAAGGAAGTTCAAGATACACGCATTACACACTCGCTTCTGTCACTCAACCCGTGGGGGGGGAAACCGGTTCTTCTGGGATTTCTGCTTCTGTTGCCCAGAGCTTGGTGAAACTCATTGTTACTGCAAATGCCGCCAGCAACCCATTCGTTTCGAAGCGAGCAACAGTTTAGAGGAGACACGATGGAAGCATCCACCGAGAGAGGAAGACTTCGTCACAATTCTGATGAAGCTGGCCGTTGTCATCGCGAGCTGAACGTCGCGCTCAAATCGTGAGTGCGGTGGGTTTAACTCTCCGACACACGACCGGTGTGCTCAACTCGTCACGAATCGTCACGTTTTGTTTCCGTGGCAAACCTTGCCGAGTTCACGCGTCGGGTGGCGGCGAGTTTAACGACGCGTTTATATTCACGCGATCGAACCCCCCCCCCCCCCCAAAAAAAAACCCTCTTTGTTATGGCCACTGGAAGCATGTCCTTCGGCACGGGCATCTCTGGGTGCTGCTCACGTTCCATCGGCAGCTGTAGGCCAGCGGTGGAAATTCCACATTCCAAAGACAGACCAATATCACCACATGCCCAAGCGATATTTATTGACTTGCAAAAAGTGCGTATTACACTGTGCGCATGATTTACCGCCGTAACCTCACGGAAGACATTTATGAATACAAAATAAATAGCCATGGTCTCGGGTTTAATGCTATATTTATAAAGCTTACACAGTGGGGGGAAATAACCTGCTTCCTTGAATCCTCCGATAGCTTAGAGGGCTAAGTGATGAGAAGAAGGATTACAGCCGACTGGATTAAACGGAGGGAAACTGTACACGCAGCATCCCGTGTGCGCGCAAAGTGGGCACTGCCCGTTCCTTACGCGTAGCGACGACGTCCACGCCGCCCGCTTCCCAGCAAACGTGAAACGTCGGGTCAATGTCGGGCGAACGGTTCCAATTGGGTTCTTTGTTCTGCGCTGCCCGAATTTGGAATTTCCCGCTTACTGTGCGCCTGTTAACGTCACTCGTCGAATCATGTTAAGGACTCAGTCTTCCAGACTGGCTCGCATCGCGATCCCGCGCTACGAACCCCAGCCGCCAGAGTTCGATTCCCGCCTACACCAGGTGACGATTATCTGAACCGGTCCTTGCGCCTCCCCTAGGTCCACTCGGCCTCAAATGAGTACCTGGTACGGTGTGTAAACATCGCCAACTGGGGAGACAAAGGCGGCCAGGCGTGGTGCTGACCACCCATACCCTCGTGTGCCGTGCCAGTCTTCGAAGGTGCTACTCGCTAACAGCAAATGCCCCAGCCGTCTGTTAAGGCTACACGGGGGATTTTTGTCTGTGTGTGTGTGACACGTGTGTGACACGTGTTTAGGAAGCATTAGCGTAGTGAATTCAGGGCACCGTGTTGTTCGATTCCAGGCCACAGCCAAGTATAAGTGGCGAGTGATATCACAACCATTTCTGAGTACTCTCTTCGGTCGATCCAACCTTTAATTATATACCTAATGCAGTCTGTAAATATCCGTATTGGAGACACAAAGACGTCCAGGCTTGGCACTCACCACACCAGGTTACTTGCTAATAGCACTTGCCCCAACAGTTTGTTAAGGCTCATAATCAACGTTTTTTGGTTTAGATCGCGTTATTTATAAATGTGTCGTAACCCTCCACCACCCGACACGGCCAATCAGTAAAAAAGTGTCACGGGCCAATCAGTAAAAAAGTGTCACGTGACACTTTTTTACTGATTGGCCGTGTCGGGTGGTGGAAGGTTACGACACATTTATAAATAACGCGATCTAAACCCAAAAACGTTGATCATGAATAATATTGGTCGCGAAAGCCTCACACGTGTTAAACTGAGTCTGTTGAGGCTCTACGGGGAGATCTTTGTCTCTCGTGGGGTTCCCATCACTGACCCTTCTCCCCTCACTCGCAGGGCCCTGCAGCTCGAGGCCGTGCCACAACGGCGGGCAGTGCGAGGCGTCGCTCGAGGTGCGCGGAGACTCCATCGACGAGGAGTTCCACTGCACGTGCCCGAGGGGCTTCAAGGGCCGACTCTGCACAGACAGTGGGTGGTGGCGCTGCACTCGCCGCGACGGCCGAACTCACGGCTCACGGGCCCGCGTGTCACATGGCCCACTGCTTTCACTTCGTACCGACCACTTCCAAACGTCCCACGCAAACGATCATTTGATGTCACCGCCAGAGCATCTTGGCCGCACTAATCGGGTTCTAGGGGGGATTATTTTTTAAGACCTGGCAACAACGCGGTGTTTCTAATTGTAGTGCACTCAAGTCGCTTATGTCACCGCAAGGGCCCCCTCACATTCGGTCGAGACGCACGCTATTTCCTACATTATTAATGGATAACGAGCGGAGCGCCGGGTGGCTAAAGCACAGCAAGTTGGCACAGTAGGGGGCACAGGTGGTGCATCAGCCAGTCATCTCGGCCATCTCAGTCAGTCGACCTGTGGCACCTGGGTCTGCCCCGTGACCTCCTGCCAGCGGGCGTTCGACACTTCACGTGGCCTCAAGGTGCACATGGCCTGGCACAAGCGTCGTGGTGACATCACCGCTACTTAGTGGCGAATGGCGGTTGTTGTTGAGTTGAGTTAAATGCACGGCCCGCCTAAGGTATTTGAAAGTCCTGTTTGGCCCTCGGTAGGACAATGTATGGTACCCCTGCGCTAAGCCAACGCCAGCGCTGCGCTGAGGTACAAGGGGTCAGTAGGTTTCTAAGTGTTTCTGGGAATTTTGAGGGTTTTTTGGGATGGGTTTGATCAGTCGGTGAGGCTACACACTCGGGGTGTGAGACTGCATCCGTTCATAGGTTGTAATAATTGTTTTCACAAACAATTAATCCATCAAAACGACGTGTCAGGATCTACGATTTAACGCGTATGTAAATCACGTGCAAAATGATATGCTCGCGTTGTATTTTGGGCTGCACAATTGCTCAAAACGACAGACAAAGCACAATTAATACCGATCAGATGGTAAAAAGTGAAAAACATAATCTACTTCAGAATGGAACCATGACTAAAAAATATGGCAGTACGTGGGATCACTGAGGCTGATTTGTTCCAACCATTAGCGATGTGATCCACATAGCCCGATACACATTCCTGTGTTTCCATTCCCCCGCCTGAGGCACATCGAAGCAAAGCGGCCCTTTTGCTGCTGGAGCTTGCAAGACATGATAACGCCTCCTTTTACATATTTGTAATAAGTAAATGTATATTTTTACACAACCCATCGGCTGCACAGCCATTCTCTGGGAGTGCATTTTATGAGCAGCGCTGGTTCAAAACAAGCCAACTCTGTGCACCGTCTTCAACATTGAGGCTCTCACCGGCAGAGTCGGGCTCGCTTGAACCCATTTTGCCACATTTCTTTCGGCATGGGTCATCTTTGGAAGAGATTGGCGAGGCATGGATCTCAGGAAATCTCTGCATCAATGACAAGGAGTCTGCGCTCCTCATCATTGTGTGCTTGTTTTAGTGGACTAATTGGCGAGCCCATATTGCTGAGAAAAAGTTATACGCTCAGGATTTTAGATTATTTTCCACCTCACGTCCAAGTAAATTATGCCACGTCACATCAGCTTAAACTCAGTCTTTAATCCCAGTTAAGTTCTTTGTTTTAAAAAAATCGGGCACACTGGGTTGACAGAGCTGTTTAAGTACATCAAGAAACGCATTATGTTCATCATTAAAACTTCAGCAAACATGCCAAAGCAGTGGGCTAATGTTTCAGACAATAGCCCTTCAATATACCCACGCAGCACTAATGAGAACGCTGACGATTGTTTTATTATTTGCACGTTTAATTAATCTGCTGCTAACAGTGACTGGCACTAAACAGACAACACGAACACCCAAAAACGTACTTCACGCTCCAGAAACGCGAGCAATTGTTTGACTTACCATTGGCTCAACCGGACAATTGGCAGCTCCTATTAGGACGATTGGCTACGTACGGTGTGAAAAAGCTCAACATACATACATACGACCAGTTTGCACAGCCTCCACACATGTGCAGGCAGCGCAAATGTCCACTCAGGCACATGGGGCCAGCCTACAAAGAGGGGGCTGGTGGTGGCATCGGACAAGGGGGCCCCATTTAATTCCTCGCACAATGGCCCATGCCAACTATAATGGTTCATGCCAACTACGATGGTTCATGCCAACTACGATGGTCTATGCCAACCACAATGGTCCATGCCAACCACGATGGACAAACCATGATGGTCCATGCCAACCACAATGGTCCAACCACAATGGTCCAACCACAATGGTCCATGCCAACCACAATGGTCCAACCACAATGGCCCATGCCAACCACAATGGCCCATGCCAACCACAATGGTCCATGCCAACCACGATGGACAAACCATGATGGCCCATGCCAACCACAATGGTCCATGCCAACCACAATGGTCCATGCCAACCACAATGGGCCATGCCAATCACAATGGTCCATGCCAACCATAATGGTCCATGCCAACCACAATGGTTCATGCCAACCATAATAGTCCAATCACGATGGTACCATGCCAACCACGATGGTTCATGCCAACTACGATGGTTCATGCCAACCATGATGGACAAACCATGATGGCCCATGCCAACCACGATGGTCCATGCCAACCACAATGACCCATGCCAACCACAATGACCCATGCCAACCACAATGGTCCCTGCCAACCACAATAGTCCAATCACGATGGTACCATGCCAACCACAATAATGTAATCACGATGGTACCATGCCAACCACAATAGTGTAATCACGATAGTACCATGCCAACCACGCGACGCCACTGCCAGGAGCATCATTAGAGCAGTATGCGTGGCCAGTGCCGGGGTAGGGGGAGCTGTGTTCAAACTAACGCGCGTTTCTCTCGGTGTCCCGTCAAGACATCGACGAGTGTCTCGACAGGCCGTGTCAGAATGGTGGCATCTGCCGAGACCTCAAAGGGGACTACACCTGCGACTGCCCGGCCGACTACACCGGCAAGAACTGCCAGCTGCGTGAGTATCCCACGTGCACGCGCACCAGCACCGAGTTGAATCGGAATCAGAATTGTTTTATTTAGACTGGAGGAATCCGATGAGCTGTGAAGCTGATGTTTGTTTCACGGATGTCCAGTATGGGCGGGTCAGCGAGTTACAACAGCAAACAATGTGAAATAGAGGTAATGGCAAGCAAGTCACGAAATATAAGTAAATCATAAACACTTTCATTATATAAGCCCGATTGATCAAAATTTGGCAAGGCAGCAAAACAACAACAAAACAGTCCCAGACCACACCAAGACACCACCACACAGCAGTAGTGGTCCCTCAGTACAATGGCACATTGACATTGAACTATCAATAAACAGGTAACGAAAAAGTAACAAATCCCATTTGCAAATGTGATCATTATCCAGCGCTAATCTTCCGCTTCAGGATATATTTTTTTTAAAGGAAGATTTACACGATGGCCGAGGGAGGAAGACGAAGGTTATTCCAAAACGTGGTGCTGCAAATTGCAGCGCAACCCCAGTGGAGAAGCAACTGATGAGAGGCGCGTGGGCTCAGCGTGGGCCTCACGCGGCAAAGCGACGGACACCATTGCCGCGCAACGAGCCTGGTGCCGCGTCGACGTTTCCCACTTTCTGAACTCTCTCGCCCCTCGCAGGCTGCGGGGCACCGCTGGGGATGGAAGGGGGTGGTATCAAGAGCTACCAGATCTCCGCCTCCTCCATGTACAGCGGCATGTTTGGTCTGCAGAAGTGGTTCCCCTTCTACGCGCGCCTCAACCGCAACGGTCTGGTGAACGCGTGGACTCCCGACGATCAGGATAGGTCAGCCTGGATCCAGGTAACTTCACCCCGGGCGAGATGTTAACTACCTCTCCCGGTATGCAGGAGGTTGTGGGTTTGATCCCGACCCCTGACGCCGGCTGTACATTTGAGAGTTTGCGTGTTCTCTCTCCGTTGTCGCGTGGATTCTTCTCCGGTTTTTCCCTCCACATTTAGAATCAACGTGCGTTTAGAGTATTTGGCTGCGACAAACTTCCACGTGAACAACCACTTCTTCGAGCTATCGTCTGTGGCCAGGTCGCTTCCGATTGAAACGCGCGATCGTTGCTCGTCCTCGTCGCAGGTGGACCTGGGCCGCACGATGCGCGTGAGCGGCGTGGCGACGCAGGGCGCGCGTCGCATGGGCAGCGCCGAGTACATCAAGAAGTTCATGCTCGCATTCAGTGACGACGGCAAGACGTGGAGCGGATACCGCGAGGCGCGCTCCACCAAGGACAGGGTCAGTGAGTCGGTGAACCGTCCCCCCTGCCTGCACCACCGCCCCTCCCCCAGCCCAGTGGGTGAGCGGTGTGAGGGAGCGGAGTGCATATGTAGTGAGTTCGACTGAGTCGCAGACGTTGACTTGGAGGCAACACGTTTATTTAACTCCCAACACATGGGATAACTGCCCCTTAACAGAATAACAACCTATGGTGGTGAGCACCAGGCTAACTACACTAGTTACAACGTAACTGCTACTACGGACCGGGACCAACAGCTTGGGTCCAGGTCCACATGTTGGAGATTCGTTGAACGGAGAACGTAGACGAAGGTTTCTTCAGGATGAACAACAACAACAACCCTGGTCCCTCTGGGAACCCGGCTTATATTCTCTGTGGCGTGGCTGGCTCCGCCCTTGGCCACGACCACCTTCCAGAAACCTCGGGAAGGATCTGGCTCCCGACCACGTGACCACCCCTAGCCCCCACTTGGGGCCCTTTGTAGGCTTAATTGGTCGCGTGTCCTCTCGGGTCAACCAGAGTGCCATGGCCTTTAGTAACCTCATTCCTGCGGCCGGCACTCCCACACCCTGTCCTGTAGGGGCTGGCACTGCACGCCGAGCGTGGTGCCATCCAGCGCTATCAATCAGCGCTCACCGGGCCCCTCTAGGGGCGGTACTACACCCACACCCTCGTGGTGTCCGCAATGTCGTTACACCGCACGCCGTGACCCTCTAGCGCCGGCAGTGCATAGTGACATCCCGCGATGTCACAGCACATAAATTAATTTTACAATTCGATTTCTCCCCCCTCTCCACCTCACCAAGTTCTTACAACCTTTCTCAATATGACGTCATAATTTTCTGACAGAATGCCCGTTATGAGCATTATTGATCGTAAAGTTGCAATGATCAGGACGCTTTACGGGAGGATTGTGTAGAGGCAAGTACAGTTTTAAGGACTTTTTAACGCGATAATAGTACTATCAAAATGTGACATTCAATTACAAAGTTACGGGACACCGACATCACGAACATCGTAACGCCGTGAAGTTTAACGTCTTTAAAAATGACATCACGGCAGCACCCCTCCCCCCCACCACGACCACGTGGCTCGAATCACGAGAACCGCGCTCGTCGTGGTCGCGTCCCTCGCAGATTTTTCCCGGAAACTGGGACAACTCGACGCCGCGCGTGACGGCCCTCAGCCCGTCCATCACGAGCCGCTACGTGCGCCTGCTGCCCACGATCTGCCACAACCGCTGCACCCTGCGCATGGAGCTGCTGGGGTGTGAGCTCACCGGTGAGTGTACGGCCATCGAGGAATGCGTGGCACACAGAGCGAGCGTGGGGTTCTTCCAGTTTGCTGCCGCACGTGAAGCAAAAACAACGGCTGAACTTGTCAAAAGTAGCAGAATCCTCGCGCGAGATTAGTCTCGGAGACTCGGGGAGACTTTACCTGGAGCGTTGACATCGCCTGACCGTGGTGGAGCTATCGAGTGTGCAGGCGGTGTAACTGCACCGGAGTCCGTAGGCTGTAGGGCACTGGGCGCCAGGCTTACGATGAAGGGGGAGGTGGGGAGGTAGGGGAAGTGGAGATGAACAGTGGCAGGTCGGCTTGGGGGGCCCGGCCGTGACCCCTTTAGACCTAGGGGATGTGGGCGGGTGGGTGAGCGAGTGGCTGTGATTGGTGGGCAGGCGTTTGTGTCACGTGACCGGCTCAAGCGCCGCCAAGACGCCTCGGCCTACATCGTTGGAGATGCGCACGCGTTTACAATCGACACGCATCGCTTCGCCGACGTCACGTTTAGGCAAACGAAGCTAACGAATCGAAGAAACGCCGTACAAACGAGACGGAAAAAAAAAAAAGCTAAAAAACAATTGGGACACTAAAAATGGGACGAAGGAATAATGGGTTATTGAATTGAGTTGCACCATCGAATCGTAACAATTCATGGCATCACTGGGATGGTTGAAATGTTACAATCCTCGTCTCCAGCTTCACAGGTTTAACAACCATGCCCTCTATTATGCCTTTCCAGCATCGCAATTATACATCGATAGTCAGACTAGAAATTCCCATTCGTTAACTACTCCTTTTCTGATGGAAATCACCTTTTCCATGCATAGGGTAAACTTTGTGGCCGCGTGTCAATTATCACGTGAACCAATTTTGGAACAAATGGAAAAAAAAACACCGGCTTTTCCGACCGTCTTTGTTCCCTATCACCCTCAGTGCAGACAGGACCCATGAAATGGGAGCGAGGGGGGAAAAGGGAGCGAGGGAGGGATGGAGGAGAGGGAGGGAGGTATGCAAGGGAGGGAGGGCGTGCGTGCGTGCGTGCGTAACGGGACAGGCGCGATTAGAGAAAGCAGGATGAGTCGCTGGAGCGTAGAGCGAGCGAGCGAGAGCAGCGAGGTTTTTACAGTGGCACTCGCGGGAGATGTGGGGCACCGGTGTAGAGGTGGCTGGAGGGGCGGACAGGGGGAGGGGGGGCGCGGGGGAGGGGGGGGATTGCCAATGTCGGCTCATCTCGCCGATCCGGCGAGCGTCTTATCGGCGCGTACAGCTGCCGCCAGCCGCCTCGCAGGGAGGATTGACGGCGTTGCAATCTACACCACCCTCCTGTGTCTTCACGGACCGGTGTAACAGTCAATCGCTTTGCTTACAACTTTGCTTGCATAGTTGAAGCTCCGAAGCAGGTCGCAGTAGAATGAGCAAAACAAAGGGGTGTCATTTCCCTTTCATGGCCAGATCCGCACAAAAGGGCGCATCATTTTAAACTTCCGAGGCGTGGAAGACAGATTATCTCTTATCGCGGTGATTAAATGGCCAAAAGGCAGCTTTGGCTGCTTGATCCGGTGATGCAGCGCATTGCAAACTTTTGACTCTTGAAGATCCTTGGTTTTTCCTGTGTCATTGCTCAGATGCAATCGCCCGTCCCGTCCGTAAGAGCAGCACCCCCTCTCCCGTGGCTTCACATTCCCTTTTTTGGACCGCGCGCTGTGTGACATGTAAAGCGCAGGCCCAACGTTCGGCCGTTTCACAAATTAGATTGTAGACTTGGGGGGGGGGGGGTACAATCCAAGTTTAGAATCAGTTAGGGCACAGAGAAGCGTGTGGAAATTATCGTCAGCCATGATTGTCCCTGGCTGGATGAAGGCCTCTCCAAGCTGACACCTATCCCCCAGAGTTCATGCATACGAGTTCCTTTTCCCAGGTGGACGTACTCTCTGACTTATGGCTGCCGATCCGTCGTTAGTTTCTAATTACGTGTCTTGCTTTGGTCCACTTACTTTTGTTAATAATCAACATGATATCTAAATAATGTAATCCTAATTTGTAAATCTCTACTTGGTGCCCGACTGTCCGTCCGTCGACCACCCAAACCTACCGATCGACCCAACCAAACACACACCCACCCAAACACCCACCCAACCACTCATCCAACCACCCACCAACCCCAGGCTGCTCAGAGCCACTGGGTGTGAAAGACGGGAGGATCAAGGACAAGCAGATGACGTCGTCCGGAGTGTTCCACACCCTGGGCCTCGACTTCTGGGGCTGGGAGCCGCACTTTGCCCGGCTCGACGCCACAGGCAGAGTTAACGCCTGGACCCCCGCCAGCTGCAACGAGCAGCAGTGGCTGCAGGTACCGTCTCTCTCCCCGTGTCCATGTGGGGTTTTCTCCAGGCCCTCCGGTCATACCAATGTGCAAGGCTTTCACAGTCGGGCTGCGTAGTCAGTTACAGCGTAGCTCAGGAGGGCCCGGCTTGCTTTTCTTTTTCCACTGCGGAGGAACAGGAGCCGTGCCGCCAACGCCGCACGCATTGAGCAAGTTGAGGAGTGCGTTCGTAAATGACACGGCGAAGCCGCGTGTTCGCCCCTGGCCCTGCTTGGCTTTGAACCTGGTGGCGAGATGTTAACTTCCTCGCCTTGTATACAGGAGGTTGTGGGTTCGATCCCAACCCTGATGCCTGCTGTATATTTGAAGTTTGCGTGTTCTCCCGTGGCCGTATGGATTTTTCTTCGGTTTTTCCCTCCACATTTAGAATCAATGTGCGTTTGGAGTATTTGGCTGATAGAAATATCCGTGTGATAAGCCACTTCGTTGGGCTGTCATTTGTGGCCAGGTAGCTTCTGAAAAAAAGAGGTATATATAGCTCAGCGGGCTTTACCCGGTAAAATAGAAAATGTAACCCTATTCAGAAGTCCCACCATGCGGTTTGGTTCCGGCACGGCACGGTGAATAACCGGTGAGAAAACCCCTCCTCCCCCGCCGTGCACCGACTCGCCGTTGGCGGACCACGGGGCCTCAACGACACGGCCTCTAACCGGCGCTATCCGCTCACCCCGCCACGCCAGGTGGACCTGCTGCGGCCGCGGCGAGTGTCGGGCGTGGTGACGCAGGGAGCGCGAGACCTCGGCACCGTGCAGTTCGTGCGCGCCTACAAGGTGGCGCACAGCGACGACGGCAAGAGCTGGACCCTCTACAAGGACAGGGCGAGCGGGCGCCCCAAGGTGGGTGGAAGCGGCGATGTGGAATGCGTGGCGGAGTGCGAGGCGCTCGCTTCGACTCGGAGCAGCACCGCGTCGAGGAGCATAAGCAGTAGCAGCAGCGGCGGCGGCTTTTGGCCGGCCATCGAACAAAGATGGTCACCGCGTCGCGCGCTTGCAGATGCGCTTCCGTGGCCATCTGGAATGCTCTTCCTTCCATTATTAGGAAGCCACTGGATCGATGCAATTTTAAATCTAGATCGAACTGATCTTTGTGTTTAGTTTGTTGTCCTTCCCCCGTACCTGCGATTAGCGCGGGTGGCTACGTAGGGTGCGAAGGAAGTTTAACGTGCATACACGCAGAGCGTGTTTGCAGCTCATCGCAAACCATTCCAGTGCCCTGCTGCAATCTAGCCAAGGGGACCGTAGCAGGAGCTGTCTTGGTCCGGCGGTAAGTGGACGCAGTGCCGGCCTGCAAATGGGCATCAATCCTGCAGCAGGACGGGGCGATGTCGCCATGCGATTTGTTCGCAACGTGTGCGAGATATTTCCAACGAGGCAGATTTGGATGATAACACCGGCACACGCTGCAGGGCAGACGCCGTGTAGTATTGACGGTTCATTCAGAATTTACCAGGGCGGCCGCTGGGCTGAAACTGCAAACCTCTGCAGCGCCCCATTGCGATCCGTGAGTGGAACGCTTTGCCTCCACCTACTCTTGACAAATCCTAATTTCCGTGGATAATGAGATATTGTGGCTATCAAGTTATTCCGCACAACCTCGTGCGGCGTACGTTAACCCGGCACGCCTGTTTCACGTCGCAGATCTTTGCCGGCAACTACGACAACAACACGCACAAGAAGAACATGTTCGAGTCGCCGTTCTGGGCGCGGTACGTGCGCATCCTGCCCACGGCGTGGTTCAACCGCATCACACTGCGCGTCGAAATCCTGGGCTGCGACGAGTGAGCTGGGACATTCGAGCTCCGCCAATCGGCAAGCCACCACCTCCTCCTCTTCCTTCTCATCTTCCCAAGCAGCCTCCTCGTCCCCTCTACCCCAGCCCAAGTGAATTTAACTGACACCGGGGGAAAACAATGTATCGGCAGGGCGGGAGATATGCGGGGGTCCACATTTTTGCATGGTGCGGTGGGGGGAGTGGGTGCCGCGTGCGTTTGTAAAACTTAACTCGTTATCGCGGTCAATGATTTATGCAGGAAATACTCCCGGTGAGCCTCAGAATTTGTTGACGAGGCTCTTCTCCTTTCCCGAGATGTTGGGCCCCGATTCCTGACTGGGTGTCTTGACTGTGGGAGGAAGCAGAAGTACCCAGATCAACAAACTACTTGCTGCACTACCACGAAGTGGCCACCTCGTGTCCCCCTGACACTCAGCATGCCACAGAGGCAAGCCAGGGAGTGAACCATTTTCAGGTCGAGGTGCCTCGCCCTTATTTATTTTAGAGTGCAGCAGTTGAATTGGCCACAGCAACTTCCCTTGCAGCCGGAGAGACCGACGCAGTCTCCGAGTTAAAGGCAACTTCCCCAAATTCTTCACGCGCCAACCGTTCGCCCAGTGAAAGAGCGCGTGCGTGCGTGTGTGCATGTGTGCGTGCGCGCGTGAGTGTCGCATAAATCCCGAGCTGAAGCTGCCGTTGGGTTGCGCCTCGAAAACCCGTGACCACCGCCGCCATCACCGACCCCCCTTGTTTCCTCGAGAGGGCACTTGAGCGCGCGCGTGGAGGACAGCGGAGTGCAGGGGGATACAGGAAGGAGCAAGTTGCCGCTTCAATTAAAATAAACACTCATGGGCTTCGGCAACGACCTGACCACGCCAACTTGCATTACCATGCCCGTGAAGCTTTGCAACCGTTTGCCTGCCGAGCAATCGTAAAAGTTCGTGTAGCCTCTTTGAGTTTTCGACACTTTCACTCTCACAGAACTGGCATTGGCATCCCTGCGGCTTCGGTCAATGCCAGCCCGTCAACAGCAAAACATCCACACACCGATAATGAAGTGCCACGCGAGTTCACAATTTGATTTGCTGCTGGTGGGGCTTCAGAAAGTCCATTTGCTCGGTGGGAACACAGGCAATGTTGCGTTTGTCGGTGGGAGTCATGAAAGCTCTGTTGACATTACTCTAAATAAAACATGTTGTTGCTTCGAACATCAGCAGCACGAATGTGGAACCGTTACAATTCAAAACCCAAACGCAGACTCTGTTCTGCGCATGTGTGGACAACAGAATTATGTTACACATTTTTGTCTTCTCACCATACAACGGAGCCACAACGGGGGCCGGGTTTTGTGTTTTTCCACCCCAGAGGTCGCGCTCCGTGCCGCCGACGTCACACGCAGCGGACGGCTCGAGCCGCATGCGCACGCACCAAATCACAGGTGGACGTCAGGGCATGTTGACACAAACGAAACACGTGATGGACGTCTACCGCCAAGGCATGACTCTTACTCACGATTAGCACGCTCGCTTCGGCTACGTACGACGCGAAAGAAGTTCAAAGTACATACATACGTATCTCCCCACCCCCCCGATTTCAAGCGTGAAAGTGGCACCATTTCAGATTTCAGAGACGAAGAAATTCCATTCGGGTCTCGTGCAGCCAGCGGTGCACCCCGCTGTGGCAGAGATACTCTCTCCGCAGAACTACATCTGGAGTCAACAAAAACGTGTTTTTTGAGCGCAAATTTTGGCGCGATGATTTTTCCTCGCCGCTATTGGTGGCCGGGCTGAGACCATCGACTCACGGCACTCGAGAAGGCAGTTTAATCACAGGCGGTTGCTCGGATTTGAACCCAGCATCTCAGGTCAAGCTGCGTCAATGTATATTGGTTCCCCGAAAAATTGTTTCCCCGATGGTAATATTTGTGTCGCCCCTACTTATTTCCGCCCCCACCCCCTCCCCCCCCCCCCCCGAGGGAATGACAGGAGTTACGGTTGCCACGGCTTGCCACGACTTGGCAAGTCGTGGTATGGCGCTAAAGGTGTCGTTATTATCATTATTATTACATTGACGAGGACAAGATTAAATACAAGAATACACCGTAAGAAGACTGAGCAACAATTGTTTTTGTTGCGTATGGCAATATGTGCAGGGTCTAAAGGCCAATGTCGAGGTCAGCGAGCCACGAGAGGGCTTCTTCAGGAGACAAGAGTTTGTATCGTTTTGATATTCCTCTGTTCAGCGAGCGGAGGCTACAGTGCTTTACCACATGGGCCACAGTTGTGGTTGCACGGCCACAAATCGCACTACTGTGGCCCATCTTTCATTTCCCATTCATGAAGGAGATGCGTGCATCGGCCTGTTGGTGCTCGGATGCGATGGATGGTTCCACCAGCGTCTCTTCGAGGAATGTAAAAAAAATAGCCAGGAGGGTTGAGCATCTGTTTCACGAATTTCGTCTGCAAAGCGGCGTTTGTACCGTGGCGTTTCAGTTCAGAATTTGCATGGGTATAGTCTTTCAATGCGAAAATAAAGGGGGTACAATTATTTGGAAGGTGAGCCAGTGATCCTGGATACTGGTCCAATCGGCAGAACAAATATTCATTGCTAAGGGGGGTTCGGGTTGGGTACGCATTCCCTAACACTGGCTTAGCTCTGATGTGGGTGGCATTAGCCCCTCTCAGCTGGCCTTGCCACCTTAAATGTACTTCTGCTTCCTGAAATGATAATTATTATATCCACACATACAGACACGCCGTGGCGTCTTTATCTTTGTAGGCCAGATTTTTTTTTATAATGCAGACCGAGTGATGCATAAATCACTCGATGGATGAATGAAGGAGTTAATGCACAAGTGAACTTTTGCATGATATATTAAATGGGCAAATTAATTTGATAAGTTATTGGATCACCGTAATTGAATAATGAACATGAAATTAATAAACGACCAAGTTAATGGATGATGATGATGATAATGATGAACAATATACTTTGTTGTAAGAGATGTAATGACTTGGGAGCCAATATTATCACCTCATTGTATCAGGCTTTGTATTTTGATAAGTACAATATAGCGTATAAGCACAAATAATGAATTACAATTATAGTGTTTGTACAACTGATAATAAAGCATTCCGTGGAACACCACGCAGAAGTGATTATGCACAAAATTGAGAAGAACTCCTGAAGTGTGAATAGAGGTTCGTGGTGCTCGACAGAGGTGAATGGAGATTCACAGAGCTCTGTGTAAGTGAATGGAGGGCGCCACGGTGGCGAGATGTTAACTACCTTGCCTGGTATACAGGATGTCGTGGGTTCGATCTCGACCCTGATGCCTGTATAGTTCGAGTTTGCGTGTCTCTCTCCCCGTGGTCGCGTGGATTTTTCTCCGGGTCCTCCGGTTTTTCCCTCCACATTTATAAACAAGCGTTTATAGTATGTGGCTGCTATACAATCACACGTGATAAGCCACTTCGTTGAGCTATCATTTGTGGCAAGGTCGCTTCTGAAAAGCGCTACATAGCTCAGTGGGCCTTACCTGGTAAAATATAAAAACATATATATAGTGTTTTATTTTACTCTATGAATGGAGTTTCGAGCGCCACCGAGTTAGAACGGTTGGCTACGTACGGTGTGAAGTAAGTTCACACCGTACGTACGTGGAGGAGAGAAAATGTCAAATGAGAGAATGGGGTTTGTGAACTCGCGTGTGGGTCTGTGGCGTAAAGGAACTGTGGGTTTCGTCTTCTTGGTTCTTTCGCTAAAGTCACGTAGAAGGGAAATAATAAAATAAAATAATAAAACATTTTATTATTTCCCTTCTACGTGTCTTCTTGGTTCTTTCGGTAAAGTCATGTAGAAGGGAAATAATAAAATAATAAAAATACAACATTTTACCGAAAGAACCAATAAGATGAATCCCTGCAGTCACGAAAGCTTTAAATATAAATTTAACTGTGGGTTTATTGAGAAGACTGGCGTGGCAAGCCGAGTAAGGGAGCTGCCCTCACTCCAGGGTCGTACCACCAGCAGGAGAGAAACAAGTAGATGCTTGAAGGGAGTTAGCGTTGTCTGTGCGCACGTTGAGCTGATTTCGCACCGCACGTAGCCAGCCGCGCTAATCGGAGGCACGGGAGATGGTCAACAAACTAAACACAAAAAAGCAGTTCTAAAGAAATCAGTTTTCAGTATCTCCTATTGCAACATTCTGTTACTCGACATTAATTCTATAAAAAACGTTGAATGTTAATACAAATCGAACGTGTGTTCCTCAGTGAAGTGTTTCCTTTGCTCACGTGAGCAACTGTGCAAGCGCTCATCTCCGTGAGTGGCCCTCAGCCAGTGGTGGAAATTCCACATTCCCATGTAAGGGGCCAGCCTGTCTCTCGGACGGCCACTGTGGAATTGTCGCGCAACTGTACTCATGTCGCTGGCGAGTTGAGTGCTCTGTCAGTATTGTCTGGATGATTGAGAGTAAATTTAAATGAAAACCAAAACTTTAAACATTTGCGTCACCAAGTATGGAATAAGTGCGTCCTAACAATGTTAACAATCACTGCTGCAGACGATGAGTGCTTCAATCAAAATGATTAGTTTCACTTTGCATTCCATTTCAATCCGCGAGCATTTTTAGACTGTCCAGTATTTAGCCAGCCGTTAGTGGTGACGAGCGTGTATTTCGTCTGTCACATTAACCGAACTAGCGTAATAACTGTAAACACTGCAGCGAACTTCGAGCTACGAATGCGTACCATCACCTGTACATCATAAAACATAATAAAAATGAAAAAAATTTGGTTTCAAATACAAAAGAAACAAAAATGCTGTTGCTCAATTATTTGTCCTCCGTGAAGTTAACCAACTTGTGTGTACGTGATGGCATGGATTTGGGGCTGTCACCTGTCCCGTTAATTTTTCTCACCCTCCTCAACCAGGACCCTTCTCTCTTTGAGACTACAGACGTCCCAAATAAATCTGTCCAGTCTCCCTGGGGACGTCCCAGTTGTATACGTCAGCTGTAAAGCACAACCGCAATTGTACCAATGCTACACTCACTCGAGATGGCGCATTCACCAGGTCTACCAGTGTTTGGAGATGTGCTTCTTGTCACGATGTGCGCCCAGGTGTTTTTTTTGTATCTCAAAGCATTGTGGCAACCCTCGAATAAATGCATCAATGAAAATACTGTATACATCCAGAAAGTGAGCAGCGCATATACAATGGCTCCTCGTTTCATCCCGTAAAGATTATGCTTTCACGATTCTTATGCTCACGATGCATGCATCGGAGTCGTACGTTTACTAATCTGATAACGTTCAATTTGTCCGAATAATAATACGCACGTGATGTGTACATCTTACAAATTCGGCTAATGCGAGATTGGAAAAACAAGGAATGAGTGCCATTGCAAATCGGATGGTAAACCTGCGATAATATATATTTTTTCATCATTAAATGTAAGTAACAATTTATAAAAATGGCAGGAGGTGGACGGCTCATCATTAAACGCCTGCAAACACACAGGCTCGTTCCCCCGGTGCTCACGAGGAACGATGGCGACGGGAGATATGTACACGTCGGTCGAAATCGGTTTTTTTCTGCCGATTATTGCTTGCGGTGCAGGAAGCCAGCAAGCAGGTGGAACGTGACTGCACACGTGATCCTCACGGCGGTAGCCCGGGGTACCAAATAATAGAAAATGGGCCGAGGAAATTAAATATTTTATTTCTGGGACACTTTTTTTCCAGGGGTGTTAATTAACTCCGCGACCGGGGTAGCAATCAATCCGCAATCAGTGCCACTCCGCAATATCGAAACGCCAAACATTAGCATTAAAAAATCCGTTATGAAAAAATGCAACTTTGAACATCTGTTGATATGCAAATTCCAACATCTGTTGATATGCAAATTCATTTGTCAAGGCGCCCTCCTCCTCTAACCCAGCATAAATATACGCTGCCAGGCTTGGTGGTGTTCATTCAGACGCTGTCTTTCCGACAGCCCTGTTCTTCACCTGAGGACGGCTGCTTGCGTTGTGGCCGAAACGTCGTGAGAATTGTATTTTATTATGGTTTATTTTTATTATTTTATCATTTCCCTTCTACGTGACTTTACCGAAAGAACCAAGAAGAGGTGCCGGGAGTGGGAGCAACTTCCGTGCATCCTTTGTTTTTTGTGGTTCACATGGAAGCGAGGTTATATTGTGCCACCCCGGGCCTTACTAGGTACTCACTAATAGCACTTGGCCCCAAGAGTCTATAAGGCTAGTGGGAGGAGTCTGTGTGCGTGTGCGTTTACATGTGTATGGTCAACTCAGCCTCAAATGAGTAGTTGGTGCAGTGTGTAAACATCGCCACTTGGGAGTCAAAGGGAGCCACGCGTGGTGTTGGCCACCCACCCCCTCGTCTGCTGTTCCAGCATTCACAGGTGCTCGCTCACAGCACTTGCTCCGACAGCCTCTTATGGCTTTTTTTGTAAAGTCACGTCGAAAGAAAACAAATTAAATAATAGAATACGACGTTTCGATTGCAACACGAGCAATCGTCATCAGGTAGAAAACAAACTGAGTGAACTTAGAAATGCAATACAACACAAAGAGTCGGCTAACAACAGTCAGCACCTTACCTGGATGATTACGTTATTCCAAAGATTGCTAAATTGGAGAGAGAGAGACAAAACACAGACACGGAGACACACAGACAGACACACAAGCAGAGAGAGACAACACAGAGACACACAGAGAGAGACACACAACATTATACGTCTTCTAACATTTTTTATTCGAGAAGCAAAGGGTTGCGAAGCATTAATGCAAACAACATCTATTTTAATAAAATAACATGTTCTGGTGACATTCATTACAGCATTCCAATGGACAGGAACTGCAGAGAGATGATAAAACCAAATATTTGGCATAACTTGCGTTGGCAGCGGCGCGCGAGCGCAGATAACAAAACAAACTCAATACATTCGTCAATAGCACTGCGTTCAAAAAGAAAAAATGTATATAATCGGTGACTTTCATGGCCAGAGCGTTAGAGTGGATAAGAGCATCCATTCTTAACTCTCTGATTCAAGAGCCGAATGGCTCACGGGGCTATACCAAATACATGAACTTGAACTTGGTCTCTGTGCATTGCAGAAGGGCCGTTGACCGAAATGTAAACTATTATATAAACGAGCCTTTTGCCCGTCCAAGGACGGGTGTATTGCAGTAAATGTGAAACTTGCAAGCGAAAAGCAGACCGCGATGTGATATTCATTGCATCATATCGTGTGCAATTTGTAAGGCCGCGGTGACACAGACTTATTTCATTGTAGGGTTATAATTCCTTGTTCATCACGACGTCCTTTTTACTTTGATGTTTCAACTGCGTGACGGAGATCGCGTGACGTGAGGGTTCTGCCTTTGTAGTGAGGGTTGTCAGTTGACGCCGAGGAGGAGAGAGGAGGCTCCTCGGCCCCCCATGTGGAGTGACGTCACCCGCTAATTAATATTAATGGAAGTGGGATGTCCAGTTGGATGACGTCACCTGTTCATGATTATTAATGAAGGGGGCTGTTCGATGTGGAGTGACGTCACCTGCTCATGATTATTAATGAGGGTGACGGTCCATGTGGAGGACGTAACCTGTTCATGATTATTAATGAAGGGGGCTGGTCGACGTGGAGTGACGTCACGCGCGGGACACACAGACATGCTTGGCTCATGATAGTAGTAAATACACACACTTTCCTTTTAAGGCAGTGTTCGTGACTAAATAATTTTTTTCGTTACAGTAAATAATAGAATAACGTGTTTTACGAGTACCTGCAATTCGCAGAGTCTAAGGGGCAAAGTTCACGCTCCAGTTGATCTTTTGTTAAACAGGAACTCTTCAGAGCCCAGGATAAGAGTGTCATTGGCAAGGGTGACCTGGTTCGCGACAATGATGACAACAGCAACAACAACTACAGCAGCAGCGAAGCAAAATAGAAAATCCGAGCTGATACAACCTCGTTACAGGAGAAACCCAAACACGACACTAACACAAGTTAAGAGTAAAGAAAACAATCAATACTCTTTGGGTTTTTGTTCGGTAAAGTCACGTAGGTAAAACAATTAATAAAATAAAATAAATGAAAACAACTTATTTTATTAATTGATTTAACTACGTGACTTTACCGAAAAAAACAAAGAGTATGAATCCTTGCAGTCACGAAAGATTCAAATCTAAAACAATAAATGTCTTGTGAAGATGGCGACGCATACTTTACGTATTTATCTTCAAGATTAGAGATGTTTGTGTGTTGGGCCGCATCTTTAAGAACCCGATATCCCTCTACCGACGGTGTAGTGAAATCTTCACTGCGGCGTGTAATGTTCAGGGCAAGGCAGGAGAGATGTCTACAAGGATTATTCAATAGCACCCTCCACTGGCAGAGACAGCCAATTCACGTATCTGCCATATATACACTAAACTGTATTTCCACTCCAGAAATTCACGCACCATATATATACTCTTCGTCTATGAATACAAGATATTTTGAATAAAAATTTTAAAACAGAATGATAATGTTTATGGTCACAGTGCATCATCCCTGTTCAATCAAGCAATAGGGCAACTCTCGTGTCTGCTGGAGATCCCATGATTATGGTGAGAAACCTACATTCACGTGGCAGGGAAAAGTCCGACAACAGGGTGATTTCCATGGGACACTTTCGCCAGTATCAAGTTATTGAATTCTGAAATGGCTTCATGCCCTTCCTGGTGTAAATGCAAGTGGTAAGATGTTCAAACGCCAAGTAGACACCAATCAAAATGCATCAATGTCTGCGCAACCATATACCAGCGGTAAAAACGCAAAGAAATATGCTTTGATGATACACTGTCCTGGATATTGATCGGCCTGCACCAGAGACCAGTGCTAGACAAAAGGCCGCAAAAAGGCGAGCAGTACAAGGGCAATGCAAACACCAAAGCATCCATAACTTGGGCTGAGCAGTTAAAGCTACAGGACCCTTTCACCAGTATCAAGATATTGAACGATTAAATAAAGGTTTAACCATTTCTGCTGTAAATTATATCGTCTTGTAATTTGGTGTCTACTTGGTGTTTGAATATCTCAACACCTATATTTATTCAAGAAAGGGTAAAGCCTTTTTTTATCATTCAATGAGACGATTACTATTGAGCCACTAATTTAATGACGTAAGGACAAAGATTTAGGTCATCAAATGTATCCCCGCAACGCGATTTTGCTGCGGCTATCATTTAATGAGGCGACGAATCCATTTGAACTCTCAGAGAGTGGTGCGTGTACCAACCCCTGTGTTAGAAAACAGTCATAAAATGTGGATATCAGAAAACTACTTCTGAGATTCAAAAGTAGTTCTCTGTGACCTCGAATCCACACTCGACAGCGGAGTTTTCCCGCTTGCCCTATAACACAATCACGTGTCGCACGACGGTCAAATCAACAGAGCTGGAATAAAAAATAAATGAATTTTTTTGTTCATGCAGTCATCGACCTTTACAAATGTAAATACATCATAGTGACAATTATCAGAATCCGCGTTCCTCCAAATCGCATTGCCTCTTATGCTCAGCCCATCACACCTCGGGTCGCTAAAACAATTCACGATTTGTGAGCCGCTTCAAGCGGCGTGTGCCCTCCCGCGGAATGGAAACGTCGAATTTCCACCACAGGCTCAGGGTCACCAGCGGGGGGAGGGAGGCGGGGGGAGGGGTGGACCAAGCGGTCCTTCACTGCTCACTTGAGCAAGGAGGGGGTGGGGTGGGTGTGGGGAAGGAGGTGGGGCGAGAGGTGTGGCTGGGGGTAGGGGCGGGGGTGGGGGCGAGGGGTGGGTGGGCGCGAGGGGTGGGGGCATGAGGGTGGGGGCGAGGGGGTGGGGGCGAGGGTTGGGAGGGCCATTCTGGCTCTGTAATGAAATCGGCTGCTTTTCAGATTGCCTCGAGACACCGACCATTCCGCATTAACACCCAGACACGGCGACCCATTGCGACACACGCAGGCGCGGGTAACGACAACACCCCCCCCGCCCCCCATTTATGACAAATTGCGTTTCTTAGCAACACAGCATGCTCAGGGTCCCTGCTTTCGCCCAATTAAAAACATGCCCCGCACATGTTCTCCGTGTTGGGTGTTGCTCAGTCGCCGCTCTTCGGCGTGGTTCCCACCCCTTACCCCTCTCCCCCAAGGTATGTGGGGTGCCCCGAGCTCACTCAGCGTGGCACCGTGATGCATCATCACACCGTTCGTAACCTCCCGCGGAAAATTATTTAAATTTAAAATCAAATGCTGCAACCTCCTTCGCTGAATGAATGGAAAAATCAAATTACGCATATTGCCGCACGTGGCGTGATCCGATTGCATTTTATTTTCTTTCTTTCTGCATTCACACCCGTGCAGGAATGTTGAAATGGCATGCAAGAGGTCCCTGGTTTTAACCAGGTTGGCGAGCCATTGAGATTGAGAGTCTCTTTCGCAAGGGATGTATCTCATCAATATATCCATGGAACCCTTTTTGCCATTGTTCGTTCTCTGCTATGACACTGGTGAGACAAGGCCATGTTAATAAAGGCTGCATCTGTTGCAGGACAATCAGTAAAAAAAATTACCCATGAAAACAAAGTGTTTCACTATAAATCCTTTATATACTGTAGCTTGAGATGGCTGCCACCTATGGGTCAGATGCTTGCCTGCCACCATTAAGCAATTGGTAATTAAATATATTTTTTTTTCCGAAAAAGTGTAAAATTTTAGAAAACATTTTTCACGAAAATAAATTGTCACGCACAACGAGTCTGTGTGCAAAATGTCAGCTCGATTGGATCACGGGAAGTGGGTTAAGAAACGACCGAAAGATTTGCACGGTCGTAAGCAAGCAAGCAAGCGCGCAAGTGAACTTAATATAAATGATTTAAAAAAGGCTGCATCTGTTGCAGGACAATCAGTTTCAAAGACAATACGTTTATTCAGTTTAACACGTAGGCTTTCGCGAGCAGTATCATCCATAAGGTTTTTTTGGGTTCGACCGCCTGACGAAGCTAGTCGTACTAAGATTGTAAATGTTGTGGCTTGGCTCTCCAACACACCGGTGTGCTGTACTAGTGACGAATTGGCCACGTTCTGTTCACATGACAACCCTTACTAGTTGGCTGTGTCGGGTGGTGGCGGGTTTAACGACACATTTATATATTTACACGATCTCACCCAAAACACCTCTATTATGAATGCGTATATAATTATCAGAGCATGCTTGTTTGCATGTTTTGCCACACGTACGTGTGGTTAATGCAGACTTGATGCCTGGCAAAGGGTATCTATTTGAACATCTTAACGCCTATTTTATTATCAGAAAGGGTATAAACCTCCGATTCGCACGATTGTCTACGTTCGGCGCACAAGTCCAACGTACAAAATATAGCACTGGCCGTAGGCAATCGGGCAAATTCGACGACATGTCTGTTGTTTCTGGCGAGAGGAACTTTGAGCTGCTCGGCTCTTCTCCTGTGGTGGAGAACGATCCAACCGGGGGACAGCCACCGTTGACTTGCCACGTCGTCAATCTCGATTTGAAGTTTCCGTGACTGCAGGTATCCACACACTTTGGTTCTTTAGGTAAAGTCACGTAGGTAGAAAATAAAATTAATTTAATCACGACGTTTCGGGCGCAACACAAGCGTCCGTCAACAGGTAGGACAACCACAGCAAGAAACAATTGCTGAAGTGGGCAAAAGGGCTGTTGTGACAAGAGGCTATATAGCTAAGAGAGGGGGGGAGGAGCCAGGGAGGAGAGACAGGGAGGGTGGGGGTGTGGGGTAGGGGGAGTGGGGGCTACAAGTAAGCAACAAGCATGGCAAAAAAGGCCGGGGTGGGGAGGAAATCGATACTCGTTTTCACGACCACCGAGGGTTGATTGAGCCGAGTTTCAACCTCCGGACCGGGGGTTGAACTCGCATCCTACCAAACGCGAGTCAAATGTTTCCTAACGGTGCAATTTTCTCGGATGCAGTTCAAGAGGAACCTTCAGTGATTCATTTAGAAAGTCACGTCCAGGTCAATGTCGAGTGTTGCTTTTGGACTGTGAGACTGGCACACAGTGGCCTCTCCTCCATGCACTGCTGTGCCAAGACGTGTGATGTTGAGATGTATAGCAACCGAGAGAGTGTTTACTGTAAAATGTGCCTGTGTATTAAAAGCACGGCCAAAAATAACGACGATGACACATAATACTGTACACAACAGTTGCCATTTTTTTATCTCTCCCATGAGTTCATAAATACGAAGTCTCACACCACAAATCAACTCTATACTCATTTCCCACACAGTAACACTCTACTTACCGACTGGTGTTGTTTCCATACATTACACATTATTCAGGAAAAATGTCAGTTGTGAATGCTCTATTTGTAGAAGTTTCAACAACACCTTGATTCTAAAATATATATATATACGGGCGTTCAAATTAAGCCTAATATGTGGAACACACCTGGGAATACGGCCGATGAGGAGACGGAGCGAGAAATCTGCCTCTGCACAGCAGCGAGACGGATTGCGGGAAGGTCTTCCTCCAGGAGCAGAGTGATAACGCCTCATGATTTGACCATGATCGGTAAATTGATAATTTGGTGAATTTACACTTGTCAAAACTTTTCATCTTGTGGTCAGTACATTTCTATTTTCGAAATTTAATTTAGAAATTGATGTTGTTACACAAAGGACTTGGTATTCGAAATGTTTAAAGTTAGGCAAGGATTAATCCACCAGCATCAACAACCACCTGTGCTGATGCTTTGGACAGAGCTGGGGAGGGTGAATGGAACTCCCAGAATGCAATGCAATGTGCCACTTCCAGTTTGGCAAGTGGTTCCGACTTCCTGTGTGTGGCTTTAAACAAAAGATGACACAGAGGCAAACTCCCATGTAAGATGTATATATATTTCCCCTTTTTGGAATTTACAAGCTGTTAACAATGTTAACAATGTTCATTGATATTTCAAAACTGAGTCACTGTTAACAGAATTCAAGCACAATCAATTTATGTTTACAAAAAATTTAACAACATCTACAGCCTTCTTGAGAGAACTTAAACCATTTTTTATTAAAATCTGAACACATTCAGTATTTTAAAATAATTAATAATAAATATTGATTATGATGGTTACAGTTTGGTTGATAATGATCCTGTGTTGACAGAAGAGATCCTGCATTAAACAAAATAGCTCAATCATTCCACACAAATGTACAGGAAAATTGGCCTCTTTGAACCGACAATCTGTAGAAAAAAGAGTTAATTTTATCAAAACTTCCACACTTAGAACTCTTCGCACACCCGTTACCACGAACATATCTCCCCGATACGCAGCCACAGGGAAAACGTACACATCCATCAGTTTGAAATGGAATCTGTGCAGTCGGAGATAATTGTTGAGTTTCAGTTCTTGGCCAGGTTATGGCCGTTAATTCCTGAACAGTTGACGGTCACGCAGAAAGCTGCCAGTAAAGTGCCGAGCGGACATTCACGGTCGTCTGTCCGGGAGGCATTCAATTCTAAACGCCTCAACGCCATCAGGTGAATTATTGTTCAGTATAATTTCACCATTTTTAGCGATTTGTAAAAAAAAAAAAATCTTGGTGCTCTTTAACGCTTGCGCTTTTATCCTGTACGTTGTATTTATGTTGGAGTCGTCCAGTCGGCATTGCATGGTAATATTTACTCACACGTATACTAAAAGCGTTTTTTTCATATTTTCGCTTATTTCCGTTTGCATAGATTTATTTTGATTGTTGTCACCATATTTGTTTTTTCAGTGTCAATTTCGCTTTCTTGTATAACTACGTATACGCCAGATTTTCCTTTAAACTTTTAGTATTTGGTCTCACAGGGTTCTCACCCGCTTCAAAAATTAAATCCATCCCATACCTGTCAACCCATACGGTTTACCTGTATTCTTGTACAGTTTTTAGGTCCATACAGCGTACAGCCATATCAATACGGGCAAAAAAATTATCTATTTGTTTGTGCTTCTCCCTTGTGATGGGACTTTGTAGGATGAACGTTGAGATTTATAACGGACACGGGGTGACCAATAAGGTCTGAACTGGTCTGTAATAAGGTAGGGTACTGATAAGGGGTTGACAAGGTATGCCATCCACTTGATCGATCGGATTGATAGCTTCAACCTGTTCCCGTCCGCTCGTCTACGGCGGCGACTACAAACTACATCCCCGACGCCGGCGGTCCCGGGGCAGCGCTCACGAGGGGCGACCGCGTCCGGAGAGCGAAGAAAAAAAAATTCGTGAGCCGGGCAAAAGCAGTTAGGCTCCGAGCGGCACGCCCCGCACGCAGCTCCGGAGTAATAACGCGTCTGGGGCGGTCGCGACTTCACCAGCGACCTTCACGAAATCCCGCGGCCACGGCAGGGAGCGGGGTGATGAGGGGGGGGCACCACCGGAGAGTGGGCGCCCGCTGCTTTCGCTCATCTCAAATTCCCGTAGGGTTTTTTTTGGGGGGGGGTTGTTGTTTCCACCCACGTAACGTATATGCCACGCCACCCTCCACCGCACCCTCCACCGCAGCCCCTCGCACCCCCCGCTTTTCTTAATTTACATTTAGCCCTCGTTGAAATTCAGTGGGAGAACGAGCGCGTGCGGCGGAGAGAGCGAGAGAGAGAAAGGAAGGGAGGCGCGCGATGTCTCGCCGTGTTGGGGAGGGGGGGGGGGGCTACGCGCGGCTGTGCGAGCCGGCGCACGTCAGCTCCCGCTCGGTCTTCTTATCGTCCTCGTCGTCCGCCAGCCAGCGGTTGCAGGGAAAGGTGAACGTCTGCCCGGCCACCTCGTCCCTCACCTCGATCTCCGCCAGGTGCCAGCCGGCGCCCAGGCCTGTCGGCGAGACGCGCCGCGACTGTGAGAATGGGCGCTGCATGGGGGTGTTTCATTAACACAGGCAGACAGACAGACAGACGGACGGACGGACGCGCACCAAACGCGAGCCCGGACACGCGCGACTAGAGACGCACGCTGCCCCGGGTGGAGCGCTGTCTGTTGGCGAGCGCCCGATGGACGCCGGGGCGGCACGCGAGGGAGCGGTGTGGCAGGTGAAGAACAACAACAACACAAAACCTCCTGCGGCTGCGTTTGTTCGCTTAGTCACGATGTCTGCCCTGCCGTGCCACGCTGGATTGACGTGGGCAGAAGCCCAGACCGACTTCAGATGCCACATTGCTGGATTGATGGCATCGCAGCGCAGCGATTGCATCTCTTAGGACATGCAGGACAAAGATCCCCCGTATAGCCTTAACAGACTTTTGGGGCAAGTGCTGTACGTGAGCACCTATGAGCGATGGTCGGCACGGCACACGAGGGGGTGGGTGACCAACGTCGCACTTGGCCGCCTTTGTCTCCCCAGTGGGCGAAGTTTTCACACCGCACCAGGTACTCATTTGAGGCTGAGTCAACCTAGGGGAGGCCCAGGGACTAATTCAGGTAATCGTCACTGGTGTTGGCCGTGAGCGAGAATTTTTAACGCTAGTCGCCGGGTTCGTAGCAGACACACACACAGACACACTCACACACAAACCCCGTGTAAGCCTATAGACTACGGGAGCAAGTACTTTAGCGAGTAGCCATGAGTACTGGAACAGCGACTCGATCCCTTGCCGAGGTGCTGCACGAACCACTTCACCTGCTCGACTGCGGAACTCATTACCCTCGTCGTCTTTCCACCTGATTACAACTCGCGGTACTTTACGTAGAAACCCTCAATGAAATTACCACATTCAGATCTGCTTTGCCGGCGGTAATTAGATTCGCCATCGCCCTCGACCTTTCGTGAGCTACTTTCAATTAAAGCGAGCACCGCGGAGACTCAGGGGTAGGCGACACTGCGCTGGAACCGCTGACACCCTCGGTTAAATTCCGGGTTTCAGCCGCCCACGATCAATGCGGGTTTGTAAGCGGAGTGAGTCGATTGTCGCACAAACTATCGTATTAAATGCGTGTTTTTTTTCTTTACACAAAGTTTCAACATTTGGAATAAAATATCAGATTGACTGCCAGGCATATGTCTGCGGCAGGGCATGTGGCAAGTGTGTCCCTGAGTGTGTGATTAAAAAAAGGTCACTTGAAGGAATCTCGGCTGGAGTTCTGTGATATCTCCTTCAGCGGACCGTTCTCCAGCATTCGTAAAGGGCACGTCACCTCGTCGTCGCGAGGTGACGTGTGTATGTGTGTGTTTGTTAAACTTCTTTCGCACCGTACGTAGCCAACCGTGCTAATCGGGAGGTGCAGGTTGCACAGCTGGAAGAAATCGGGGGGAAAATACAAAAACAATAAAAACAGTAGCAAGAAAACAAGATGATGACAAAAGAAGAATAGGCTTTAACCTTTCTGGCAATAAAATAGGTGTTAGAAAGAGTAAAGTCTATAAAGCCTAGTGCTGATGTTTACACACCGCACCAGGTACTCATTTGAGGCTCAGTCGACCTAGGGGAGTCCCAGGACCGATTCAAGTAATCGTCACTGGTGTTGGCCGTGAGCGCGAATCAAACTCGGGTCGCTGGGTTAGCATCGCAGAACACCGACCACTGTGCTACGGCTCCTGCACACACACACAGACACACACAAAAAACAAAGATCCCCCATATAGCCTTAACAGACTGTAGGGGCAAGTGCTGTTAGCGAGCACCTATGAAGGCCGGAACGGTACACGAGGAGGTGGGTGGCCAGCACCACGCCCGACCGCCTTTGTCTCCCCAGTGGCGATGTTTACACACCGCACCAGGTACTCATTTCAGGCCGAGTCGACCTAGGGGAAGCCCAGGACCGGTTCAGATAATCGTCACTGGTGTTGGCCGTGAGCGGGAATCGAACCCGGGTCGCCAGGTTCGTAGCGCAAGCGCGCTAACCGCTACACCACCGCTCCCCACACACAGAGACACACACACACACGGCAGCAGCAGCGCCGCGCCAGGCCTCACCCTTGCTGTCGTGCCACACGCGCAACCTGGACAGGCGGCCGAGGCTCTTGTGGTCGGCGAAGCGGAACTCGTCCGTGCGGCCGCTCTCGAACTTGTTCCCCCCGCTGAGCGACGAGCTCAGGGCGAGGGGCCCCGAGTCGCCCGCGTCCCCGTGCAGCGCCACGAACACGTTGGCGTCCGTGGCCGCGCCTGTGCGGCGACGCACAAAGCGCTCGTCACAAATACGAACCGCGACCACGTCGCTGACCTCGTCGACGAGCGTGAATCCGTCGAGCGAAACTCCTGTCATCATCTTCACGGCGGCGGCGGCGACGGCTTCTGGCTGTCCGTCGGACAAAGACGGTGGTCGCTCGGCGCTTTCAGATGCGGCTTCCGCGGCCGTCTGGAACCGATGCTCTTCCTTGCGATATTCGGAAGCCACTGGGAGCTATGCACTTTTAAAATCTCGACTGAAAACTCATTTCTTTAGAATTAATTCCTGTGTTTAGTTTGATGTCCTTCACCCGCACCCGCGATTAGCACGGTTGGCTACGTACGGTGCGAAAGAAGTTCAACGTGCGTACGGCAGCAGCACGGCAATGGCAGCAGCAGCGGCGTGCTGCTGGGAAAGGTGCGAATAATGAAAAACTGTTCAAAGGACGAGCAGAGTTTATATCACTGAGAAGTCTGGTTCAGATGTTCCGTGCTGGATTCTACGTTAGTAGAGCCAACGTGGGTTGGTAAACGGGGGGCATCCAGGGCTGGTTCAGATATCACTTGCCACTGATGTTAGCCGTGGCCAGCAATCGGACTCAGGTCACAGGACAGTGGGTTATGAACTACTGCGTCACCGCTCATGTTATTAGACTGAAATCTAAAATGTAATCATGTGTTATCAGTTCGTACGGTTAATTATGATTAGCCGCGATTTATCCACTTCTGGATGAAGTCGTCCGTGAACCATCGCCACCTCTCACTGTCTGGAAATGCAACAATCCACCTAATGCCTGCGCACGGGCTAATTTAATCACTCCATCTCCACGGTGGGGACGTGCTCTCAGACGCGTTCCCTTCTTTCGGCCGCCACTCCGCCGTTAGCCTCGACCACGATCCGTCGTTTCGAGCCACGATGCCCCCTGGCCGAGCGAGCCGATTTTCCCCCAACAATAAACACGCTGCTTTGTAACAAACAACCAAACCCTACAATCCCTCGGTGCGTTTTTGTCATTCAATCTTAACGTGTGCGCACGCGTTGTTGACCTTCCCCCCCCCCCGACTGTTTACGTGAGCTGCGTCCCGCGATTTTTGCCCGAGTGAGCCAAGCACCAAGCCACGGTCGGGCTATTCACTGCTACGCGAGCTCCGTGTGAGCTAGAGGTCAACCCGCTCTTCGGTGGCAAGCACCTGGTAATGCAATTTGTAACAAACGGAACACACGGCAGAGGGTCACCTGCACAATTGACCCCTGAAAAATGAACATTTTGCCCAGACGTAAGGCGACATCTATGTCCGGGCAAAAGGGCATTATTATTATTGTTGTTGTTGCATCCTCCGGTCGTGTCACTCGTACCAATCAATACACACACACGCACTGGTCTCGTGTGGCATCACCCCAGCTGGCTTAAATGGGTCTCCTTTTTGTCAAATTCCAACCATTCTCAATTTACCAACGAATGAAGACTCCCCATGCCATCATTGGTCATGGGGGGCTTTGTGACCATACTTCAGCAAGCCGGTTGGTGTGGGCTTGTGTCAAGGTGGGGGGGGGGGGACGGTACCGGTTTTGATATAATCCGCCACTTAAGGGGTTACGCTCACTCGGCAACGAATTGCCTAGGTTTGGCAAAAAAAAAATAGCACGATGGCAGTCTACAAGGAGGCGATGGAAAGCCCCGTGGCCTGACGTAGGAAGCAATGAGTGAGCGACCTTGGAAATACGCACCGCCGATTCGCACGGTTGGCTACGTACAGTGCGAAAGAAGTTAAACGTGCAATACGTACATACTGCTTCTCTGCACGGTCCGCGAAGTGCAACACGTGTGGATCATCAAGGTCACGAGGCTTCAATCCCCGCATGGAGAAACATTTTATCGTGACATTTCATTTGATTGCCACTGGAAAGGTTCTTTCCCAGCATCGTGATCTCTGTCACAGGGAGCCAGGTCTGATAATTATGGGCCTGGATTTATCCTCTGGATTATTCTTTTTTTTATCCTGATTTGTATGAATTTTGTAAGATGATTTCAATCAACTGCTAAAATTACAGTCCGTGTAAACCTAAAACATTTTAAAAGCCATCTTGAACTTAATTTCCTTCGAACTGAACATTGCACCACGAATCATGTGTTAGGCCCCAGACTTTTCTGTCACCCCCTCCATGGAATTCGCATGGCAAGCCGATGGGGCCTACATCCGTTGCTATGGAGCCACTGCAGCATCAACGGCTGAATTAACAATACAAAAAAACTGTCCCCCAAGATAACAGCAGGGCGGAGAGGGAAAATCACAAGTCGCAGCCCACTCATTATTTGCGGGGGGCCGAATCGCTGAGGTCGAGCCCCCCACCACCCCCCCAACTACTTGTCCCGCTCGGACGTACCCCTGACTTTGCTCGTCTTCACAGCGATGGTGTACGTGGTCTTAGACGGCGGGTCGTTGCCTGCCCCGGCCACGGCTGGCAGCTCCCACACCAGCTTCTTGTCCCCCTTGGACTTTGAGATCCAACCGCTCAGCTTGAACGCCGTCACCTCGAACGTTTTCACGTTCCTCAGCAGAATCTGAAAATAACAACAATGGCGTCGACGCATGTATATATATAAACAAAAATCCGGCGACATGAACGCGGACTGTAAAAACAATTAGCGGCCGAAATAAAACGTGACTGGCTGGGAAAGCCGGTAGCTTTTGTAATGCCTATGTGGCGTAACGTGTAAAAATGTATAGCAGCCAAAGACTCTAAACCAAAGTTGATTCTAAATGTGGGGGGACAAACCGGAGGACCCGGAGAAAAATCCACGCGACCACGGGGAGAACACCCGTAATATGATGGTCCGTGTGTGTCCTTGCCGTCGATAGTAGTCAAAACTTTCCTAAACCCGGCTTACTCATGTGCCTGTTTGGCCTATAATTATTCCATTATTCTGTTCCCAATGATTTTCGTAACAAAAATATAAAAATGTACACACGAGCGGTAAGAATCAACTATGCTCAGAAAAGCTATTCAGCAGTGGATAGCTCATGGCTGATGATGACCTTTTCCAGGAACCAGTCTGGGCGGCTGCCCTTCCCGTCGCTGCGAACACGCATCTTCTCCAGCCGCCCCACGTCATCCATCTCCATCGCAAACACGTCCTTGTGTCCCCTCTCGAACCTGCGTGGGGTTTACGCGCCACGCCGTCAAGGTGCGGTGGTGGCGGTGGTGACGATGGTGGCGGTGGTGGCGGTGGTGGTGGTGGCGGTGGCGGTGGTGGTGACAGTGGCTGTGGTGGTGATGACGACGGTGGCGGTGGTGGTGGTGGCAGTGGTGGTGGTGGTGACAATGGTGGCAGTGGTGGTGACGATGGTGGCGGTGGTGGTGGTGGTGGTGACGATGGTGGTGGTGATGGTGGCTGTGGTGGTGGTGACAACAACGGTGGTGGTGGTGACGACGGTGGTGGTGACGATGGTGGCGGCGATTATCACGGTCGGCTACGTACAGTGCAAAAGAAGTTCAACATACAGTACATCGCACAGAGAGATGTCCTCGTCGTGCACGAGACGTCGAACTCCGGCTCAGACCTAGCGCAGGTGACGCTGTAACTCCGTTGCCGCGGCGCCGTCACTCACCGGTCCTCCCCCTTGGCGAGGGTCACCTCTGGCGTCGCCCCGTTGGCTCCGAACAGCGTTACGTGCAGCCCCGTGTCCGTGCCGGCCCCCGGAGAGTCCCCGGTCACCACCGTCACCTCGTAGCTCACCTGTGGACAAACGGCGAGCGCACGGCACGCAACCCCTTCGAGCGACTCGCTAACCGACCGACGAACCCTCACGCCCCGACCGTTGCAGCCGACCCTCATCACGACCAGCGCAACGTGGACCGGCGCTCGAACGAACCCACCATTCCATCTGAGCTAGGCAACTGAGGCCTTAACAAAGTGAAACCACGGGGCCATCGACTCATCACACCTGAGAAGCCGATTGAATCGCAAGCGGCCGTAACCCCCCAGATTCGAACCCCGGCAGTGTCTCTAACATAGCCGTCGCCAACACACCTCGTGCCTCTGGCCACCTCGTCTCAACCTCTCTTGTTCTTCACGCCAACACGACCCCGGGAGCCACCGGCTGTAAGGCCCGGAGCCAAAGTGGAACTTGCGCGACAAGCATTCGGCGCGGACTGGGCTTCTTGAGCGGCAGTCGTTTGATTACGGGGCGAGGAAGAGTCGTGCCTGTGCAGTGCTTGAGCCCCGCTTAATTCCCTGCCTTGCATCTGTGAGTTCCTGCAGCCGGGCTGCCTGATAACCTGCCACAATCAATCAGGCCACTTCAGCAGGCAACGGGAAGGTGTGGGCCAATGACCGCGTAGAAGGTGGGGGAGGGAGGGTGGAGTGGGGGGTGTTGGGAGAGCTCAGATGAGCTGGAAGTAGAGACTGAGAGAGTCTCCGACCTCAGCAAGATTTATTGCCGCGACGCACGGCCATTCGTCAAACCCGCTGGAAGCCGGGAGCGGCGGCGCAACAACGGACGAGACCGGTGTGATAATACGCTGTTTCGTCTGTAACGGTGGTCGTGCTCAATGAAAAAAATACGCTCTCTGCAGAAGGAAAAATTTCAATATTTAATTAGGAACCCTGCTGTGAGACGGTTTAATTAAGGCCACGGTGATGTCCGGTTAAAACCGCGCAAAGCCCGCGACGCTGCAGAAGATCCAGGTCGTTTGTGAGGCCTCGCTTGCGCTGTGCGAGCTGCTGGTGCCTAATGGTCACAGTGGATCGCGCATTGACTGTCGCCGATTGCATTCTACGCGGGCGTCCATGTGTCCGCATTGACAGTGCGGCGTTATTGCACTGTGATCAGAGTTACAAATTGTGCCGCGTCAGTTTCTGCGATCAGAGTGCTTGACACAAGACCAGAACGATGCCTGCCCACACCCCCGCGGAGGTTCCATCGAGCCCATCATCCCTCTGAGGTCCGTAAAACTGGTTCCACTTTGCGAGATATCAACATTGGTCAGACCGTCACGCTCCTCCGTGGCATTGTGGGATTTCCCCCACAGGTTCAGCACCAACTCCCACAATGCGGCGATGTAACGCTCAATCCAGCACCTGCACACATTCTGGTTTCATTGCTCCATCTCCGCAGCGGACGACCCGATCTGGGGTTGCAGAGGGTTAACCCGAAACGGCCGTTTCCACACTACGCGAGTGTCATTAGTGACCGACGCTTCATCATCAACGTGACGTGCGCGTCACTTATTCGCGGCGCGAGCGCGCACACACCTTGGGTTTGGAGTTGGCGAGCTCGGCGTCGCGCACGTTGAACACTCGCGCCGTCTGCCCGTCCGCCCGCGTGCGTGACAGCCAGCAGTGGCACGGGAAGCGGAAGGCCACCCCGCGCGTCGGCAGGGACAGCGTGAACTCGTCGACGAACCAGCTCGACTCGGACGACGACGTGCCGTCGTGGCCCAGCTGGCGGCAACGGAGGAAGACAAAACACACAAGAGACGCCGCGTTTCCGCCACCGCCGCTGCCGCCCAGCAAGTGTGCCAAAACCCGGCCTGGACCCACAGGGAGAGGGGTTGCGTTGGCCGGTGGTCGCCCCCTGCTTGCGAGGAACGCCATGGGAACCCCTGTCCAATTATAGCGAAACAATGTTTTACTTTGCTAGGTAAGGCCACTGAGCTACGTAGCACTTTTTCAGAAGCGACCTCGCCACAAATGACAGCTCAACGAAGTGGCTTTCCACGTGGAAACTTATAGCAGCCGATACGCAAACTCCACATATACAGCAGGTGTCAGGGTCGGGATCGAACCCACGACCTTCTGTATACCAGGCGCGGTAGTTAACATCTCCTAGCCACCGTGATGATGAGAGAGAGACGCAAACTGCAAAGATACAGCAGGCGTCAGAGTCGGGATCAAACCCACGACCTCCTATATACCAGGCGAGGTAGTTAACATCTTGTGGCCAGGCACCCAGGCCCCTTTGGCCAACGAGCCTTTCCGGTGGGGTCGCCCCGCACCGCACCGCCCACCTCCACGCTGGTGACGTCGCCCACGTCCAGGGACTCGAGGCGGAAGGAGCGCGTGGAGCCCGGGGAGAAGACGACGGGGCCGTCGGCATTGTCGAGCCACAGGCGGGGAGTGCGCCGCTCGGCTCGGCCCCACACCACCACGAAAGCGCGGCCCGGCGCGCCCTGAGCCTTCTCGCGGCCCGTCGTCACCGCCACGTGGTACGGCAGCGCTGCGGGCGAGGAGGCGGCGTCGTTAGTGACTTCACGTCTACGAGCTGGGTGAGAATGCAAGATGCCAGGACAGGTCTTATTTTCCAGCGTGGTCCGGGGCTGGCGGGGCAACAATCGCTATGTACGTACGCATGTTGACGAACTTATTTCGCACAACGTGCGCAGCCAACCGTGCTAATCGGAGGTGCGCGGTGCTATGCACGTTCCCGATTGGGTAATGTGTGGCCAAAGGTGGCGGTGACCGTGGGAGCACCGGTGACGATGACGATGTTGATATCGGTCCCTGATTAGCGGGTGGCATCGGCAACACACCCACTTGGCGCCGTGGACTGCCGGGGCTACGTTCCGGGGTTTTGCGTGAGCCCCCCCCCCCCCCTCCACGAGCCACAGCAAGCCGCAGCGAAGAGTCACGCGAGGAGTCCATGACTCACTTGGGCCCTCGTATATTGTATCCTCGACGATGCTCCGGCGCCGGCTCGACGCAGACGGGGCCGCCTGGTTGGCCGCGCCACGCAGGCTGCCACCGGCCGAACTGCGCAGGCTCCGCACCGAGCTCCCCACGCTCGACTTCTCCCCGTCGTAGCCCTGCGAGGGAGAGGAACGGCGAAACGCCAGCGACGGTGAAACGATAACGGTCACTCACTCCGCTTATTCCTGAAATGTTCCCAGTCCCATCACAGTGAACTCAGAAGCAGAACGACGGGGGGGGGTGGGGGAGGTGAGCCGGAACAGCCGCTGGGATGGACGGCGACCGCGAACGGGAACTATTAAAACTACGATTTTTGTTTAATTTTACCAGGTAAGGCCCACTGAGCTATATAGCTCTTTTCAGAAGCGACCTGGCCACAAATGACAGCCCAACATTTTGAAACAACGTGCGTTTAAAGTATTTGGCTGTTATAAATTTCGACACGACGATAAGCCACTCCGTTGAGCCATCGTGGGTGGCCAAGTCGCTTCTGAAAAAAGAACTATGCAGCTCAGTGGGCCTCACCTGGTAAAATAAAAATAGTTTAGTTTACGGTTTAGTTTTGGGATGTGAACTCGCGACCTTCTGACTGCAGGCACGGCGCACTGACCATGGCGCCACGCGTCCACGTTGCAGTCAACAACAACTGCCGCAAAAAAAAGTGTCAAGTCGCAAGAGTTGCCGTTTGAGCTGTTTTTTTCTCTCGGTTTATTAATTCTACGGCTCAACCAATGATCCCAAGGCACGCATGCCCCCCGCCCCCCACCTCTCAAGAACAGCTTGATAATGGAATCACGTTCTCGGCGATACATTTATTAAGAGCTGTGAAAAATTCGTAAAATTTGCTTTGCCGTGCCCTTTTTTTTTTCTTTTTACAAAAGTCCGTCTCGTCAGGTAAGTCTTGTTCGCGAGAGATCTGCTGACACCGATCTCAGGAGTAGGACATCGTTTAGCCGAGAATAAACGCAAGTGTAAAACTATAAAGACTTTCCGCAGTCTCTAATGAGACGGCACAGGTGGAGATGTATGCATCACTAGGCCTTGCCTGTGAAATGTGGTCAAGTTTTTGCTTAACCCACCACCATCGATTCAGCATTGGAAACATATGGGAAGTCCGCAGTGGTCATCCTACGGATGTACTGTTGACCCTGCCATAGGAATATGGAATTTTCACCACTGGCTCAGTGCTCACTTTAGCAAACATTTTTGACTACTGATGCTTTTTTCACACGAACATAACGTGTTAAATACGTAGGAGAGAAGCGACGTGGCGCTTAGCGCCCACACTGTGCTGTGAAGCTGGTGATCCGAGTGTGATTCTCAGCCACGGCTAACATCGGTGGCGAGTGATACCTAAACCGGTTAGATCCCATCCCTCCCCTTCACCGACCTCCACTGACCCAGTGTGGTGAAGCTTGGTGAAAGCAGCCGCATTACGGACGTGACAATGGGAGGTTTAGCATCCATCAGGGGACTGACAATTTTCATCATCATTATGTAGAGATGTTATCACCTACCGTCGACAACATCTACAACTCAGCGTTGCCCGCTGCAAAATAAATTTTAAAAAACACTCGCAGATCCAGACTGTGCCGAATAGCAAACCTCCACTACTGGGTATCACCAAAGAGTGGCCACCTGTCCTGGTTGTCGCTTGATCATCCTCTTCTTTCAGCAAGCTGTGCTGGGAAATCTACAAGTTGGACTTTAAAAGTCCGTTTTTTTTTGTGTCAGCTGAACAACAATAATAGAATTCACCACCATAGACATTGCGTTCACGTGCGGTTCTGCCCCTCTCCCTGGCACTGTGAGATAGTCTTCTTCTTCCCGCGACGCGTCCCTTAATTTTGCACCTCGGAGGCGGCAACCGCGGAAGTTACGTCACCGCACAAACAACAACTGTCACGGGGCTGGCGGTGGGTGGGGTGGGGGGTGAGCATCTGGCTTGCTGACCTTCACGTAGAAGGTCCTCTCGAGCTTCTTGTCCTCCTTGTCCTTGGAGAGCCAGCGCTCGCAGGTGAAGAGGAACACCTCGTCCGTGTCCAGGTCCTCCACCTCGACCTTGGACAGGAACCAGTCGGGGCTCGGCATGGAGTTGTCGTGCCGCACCTTGATCTTGTGGATGCGGCCCAGGTCGACGGCCTCCAGCGTGAAGATGTCCTCCTGAAGCGGCCGACGTCCGAGAGAGAAGGGGTAGGAGGGAGGGAAGCCCGTCGATGCTCAGGGTGTGCGCGGGGCGAGGATCAAGAAGTGAGATTTGGTGCCGCGGTGGCGAAATGTTATCGACCTCGCCTGGTATACAGGAGGTCGTGACGCCTGCTGTGTATTTGGAGTTTGCGCATTCTCTCTCCCCCCGTGGTCGCGCGGATTTTTCTCCGGGTCCCCCTGGTTTTTCCCTCCACATTTAGAATCAACGTGCATTTCGAATATTTGTCTGCTATAAATTTGCACGTCATAAGCCACTTCGTTGAGCGATCACTTGTGGCCAGGTCTCTTCTGATAAAATAACAAAAAAAATTGTTTAGGCTATAGTTCAGGTCCCACTAATTGACACACACACGCACGTACGCACCACATGGCCTGCAATACCTGGCCCTTCTCAAACTTGTTGGAGTGCGTCTCGGACTTGCTCAGCTTGCGCTCGCCAGAGTCTCCCTGGTCGCCGTAGAGGGTGACGAAGACGTTGGCGTCCGTGCCGGCGCCTCGCACGCTGCCCGTGTGCACGCGCACCTTGTACTTGTGAGCTGCGCGCGGCAGGGGACGGGGGGGCAACGCGTGAGAGCTCCGAGATCATCACAGGGAGACAACGGCGGTCCTCCCCACCCACCCACACCCACCCCCCGGGTTGCCATTGGAAACCGTTGTGGGGGGTGGTGGGGCGGGAGCGGCGAGCGGTGTTGTTAACGAGTGCCCGAGGGCGGATGTGGCCAGCACCACGTGCAGCTTCGAAGAAGAAGCTGCAATTTTACTTTGGATGAACAACTAATGTCAGTAACAAAGATAAACAATTTTTATGTTTTAGTTGTATATTGCTTTTTACATGATTTGTTTACCTCTCCTAAACTATGCACTCCGATCGTGTTTTTGTATTGTTTGCTGTTGTAACGTTCTGACCCGCCCCTACTGGATTCCTCCAGCATACATAAACATTCCAATTCTGCGATCATCTCTTTGCGTTTTCATCGGCGAGCATCGAGAAGCCGGCCTAACCGCTGAAACCCGGATTCAAAAGCCGGGCCCCCCCCCCCCGACGCGTTGCTGGCTCAGTGCCCCTGACCCCTGGGCAGAGGTCGCAACCGGGTACCCGATACCCCTACCCTACCCGATACCCGGCTACCTGTACCCGGCCGGGTACGGGTAGTCGTTTGCGACCCTGGTGCGACCGGGTACGGGTAGGCCGTGAGTCACTGGTGAGTAACCGTTTGTCACTCATTTCGGGTAGGGTACGGGTAGGGAACGGGTACCCGTACTCGACTGGGTACGGGTACGGTTACCCATTTGTGACCCTGGTGCGGCCGGGTACGGGTACGGGTAAGGAATCAAAGCCCGTTTGCGACCTCTGCCCCTGGGGTGGCAGGGCCCCCCCTCCCGCCGCTCACTCTGGAGGACGTCGTCCAAGACGCTCTCGGCGCGCTTGAGGCTCCCGTCGCGCAGCACGCGCTCCTGCACGACGGCGCGCGGCACCAGCTCCCGCACCACCTCGCCGTCGTCCTCCGAGCGCGCCAGCCAGCGGCCGCACGGGAAGCTCAACGTCTCCGAACCCTGCCCGCCCGCCCGCAACAGCCAGCGTCAGCACGGTGGTGGTGATGACGGTGGTGGTGGTGGTGATATTGGTGGCGATGATGGTGGTACTGGTGGAGGTGCTCGTGGTGATGATGATGGCAGTGGAACTGGTTGTGTTGGTGGTGGTGGTGGTGGTGATGGTGCTGGTGGCAGTGATGGTGATATTGGTGGAGATGATGGTGGTTACGGGTGGAGGTGCTCGTGGTGATGATGATGATGATAGTGGTACTGGTTGTGTTGGTGGTGGTGGTGGTGATGGTGATGGTGTTATTGGTGGCAATGATGGTGGTTACTGTTGGAGGTGCTCGTGGTGATGATGATGATGATAGTGGTACTGGTAGTGCTGGTGGTGGTGGTGGTGATGGTGCTGGTGGCGGTGAGAGTTCTGCTGGTGTTGATGGTGGCAGTGGTAGTGGTAGTTGGCACAGTTGAGTGCACAGCTGCTGCATTTGCCAGTCATCTCAGTCAGTCAACCCATGCAACCTGGGACTGTCCCATGACCTCCTGCCAGCGAGCCTTGGACGCTTCACGTGACCTCAAAGTGCACCTGGCCTGGTACAGGCGCCGTGGTGATGTCACTGCGAATGGCGGGTGTTGTTGTTGGTAGTGGTAGCAGTCATGGTGGTGGTGTCACCAAAACACACAGGGCCTCATTCAAATCTAGACGACATGGTCACATCACGTCATCTTGGCAATGTTAAATTTTGACAAACAATCATAGTGGTGCTAATGATGATAACGATGATAGTGGCATTGATGTGATGATGATAGAGGGGGTCAGCCACGACGACGACGACGATGATGATAACGACGATGATGATAACGATGATGATGATAACGATGAGGATAATGACAACAGCATCCTTCCTTACCTTCCCTCCTCCGAGCAGCCTGCGCACGTCCAGGCGATCGAGGTGCCAGCCGGCGCTCAGGCCGGCGTTGTCGTGCCCCACGCGCACCTTCTCGATGGCGTCGCCCACGTCCTCCAGCTGAGCGTGTGGGCAGGACACCCACGCACACACACGGCCGCCCTCAACTCTGACCCGCTCAACCCAAGCTGAACGCCGGTGAGATGTTAACTGCCTCGCCTGGTATACAGGAGGTCGTGGGTTCGAACCAGACCCTGACGCCTGTTGTAAATTTGGTAGTTTGCGTCTCTCTCTCTCTCTACCCGTGGTCGCATTTAGAATTAACGTACGTTTAGAGTTTTTGGCTGCTCTACATTTAGATGTGATGAGTCCCTTTGTTGAGCTATCATTGGTGGCCAGGTCGCTTCTGAAAAAGAGCAATATAGTTCAGTGGGCCTTACCTGGTGAAATAACAATAGCTTAGTTTTTGTTTATTAGCCAGCAAGGGATCTAAAGATCTAGATAGACAGATCTCTGATATGTTTAAAGGTTGTACCGCGTGCTGTTCGGCAAACAAGTGCTGGCGTTTTGCTTCACGTGCTGGGATATTCAATCGTATTCAATTCAGAATTTCCCATGCCGTCGATTACTCCAGAGAACAGTTTAAAAAGGCCATTTATTTGAAACCTTAATTTCCCGCGCATGTTTCATCAGGAAACAAAATATTTCACGAACAAACAATCAAGCGGGCAACGACGTTCGTTGAGATTCTTCCGCACCGTAGCATAGCCAACCGTGCTCATCGCAGGTGCAGTAACGATCACATCGAGGTGACCCCACTTAGCCAATGGACGGTTCACCACGTGACGCATCGTAGTGGTAGTGGTGGTACCACTGCCGTGCCACGACAAACCCAAGCGGCGTGGGCCACGCACCTCCAGGACGAAGGTGTCGACGGAACCGCGGTTGAAGTGCTCCTTGCGCTGCTTCTTGCTGGGGCAGAGGCTGGCCTGGCGCGTGCAGCTGCCGTCGCGACCGTACAGCACCACGAACACGTCGGCGTCCGTGCCGGCGCTCGGCACGTCGCTCGTGCGCGCCGTGATCTCGTACGGGACGTCTGCCGGGTGGTGGGGTGCGGGGGCAGCAGAGGAAGGGTGTGAGACGCGTTCGGGACGACGAGTCGGACGAAATCGCAGCTGTTGTGGGAGTTGGGGGGGACGGGGGGGGTCGCCGGTGCCGGCTAACTCGATGCAGCAAATCTGGCTGTGACGGTCCCACCTGATGACGGAGACTTGTGTTGCCTCCGAAACGTCGTGATTTTATTATTTTATTTTTATTAATTTTAATTTCCTTTTTTACCTACGTGACTTTACCGAAAGAACTAAGAGTATACGACAGCGTCTATCATCTGCCGCAGTCAGCGTCCAAGCATCGCCGCGACTCGGACAAGCGCTCCGCAATTTGCCTGTCGCTGCTGGTGGAAATTCTGCGTTCCTATGGCAGGAGCCAGTCCGACCGTGGGACCCGTGTGGGATTGTTTTCTTCGGATTGGTTAAGTTCACGTCGGTTTGCTGTTGCCAGGTTTGTTGATCAATGGGGGTTTTTTTACCGCGCCAAATTAAGGCGATCCACTTGTGAGCTCCAGCTAAGCGCGACTCAATTCGAGGGTTGATTCTCCGTCAGGATGTTGAACTCGCGACCTTACAATTATGTGTCGTGCGCTCCAGCCAGAGAGACCGCCAGTCAGATAAACATTCCACACAGAGACATACACAATTACCGTTTGCTACCGTGATCCCTGAATATCAACGCTCTTATTTGTTGTAAATGGGTGAAGGTGGAGGCTTTAAAGTACTTTTTTGGTGGGTGATACCTGGTTGAAAATCCTGTTCCCACAACACAGTTGGCCTTTAGGTTCGTATACTGCGTAGATGCTGCACATGAAGTACCCCATTCTCCTGATTATAAGACGCAATATTTTCCACTGATATTTCATGTAAATTTTGGCGATGCATCAAATCATCTGGTCAGTGTGTGTGTGTATGTGTATGCCCAGATTGTATAACTTTACTGACATAGGGCATAGAATCTGGTATCATTACTGGCTACCGCTCATGTTAAGTGAAGGTCTTTCTCTAATTGAATTAAAATGAGCACGATGGAGGCTTCTGATACTCGCAAATCGCTCGCAGGCTTGCTCAACGTTCTACACACCGAAAATGAGAGACATGTCTGGAGTGAGTGTTACCAAATATCTTACGCACGGAAAAACCAAAAACTACTTTCAAGAGAAGTGAGGTTTAACCACCGAGAAGATGAAAATGATGAATGTGCAAATAGGACGTCCGATAGAGAGTATGGAGGTTACCTTGTGCCCAGAGATCACGCTGTTCCACCACCACCATCACCACCACCAACAGCAGCAGCGGAGAGACGGGAGGGAGAGTGCAGTGGCTTGGAGAAACCCAGGAGGCGAGCGGGGAAAGCACCCAGAGTTCACCATCGCACACGCACCGTCACCAGGCGGCAAACCTCACGACTGCAGCTCAGGGGTCACAAACGAGGCCCGGCCGCTAGGGCCAATGAAATTCTGCGTCAGGCGAAGGGGGGACTCGTCGATGGAGTCGCGAGGAGGCCGCCATTCTATCAAAATTCTTCTATTTCAAATCTGCGTATCTCCATTGGCAGTCTAAAGCCAATGTTGTTGGCCGGTTTATCCAAAGGGTAGCCACTGTTGATCTTCCAAAGATGATGAGGATTTGAGTCAATTCCTGACTGGGATTTGAACGCGAATTTTGTCCAAGCGATGCTGGAAGGTCACGTGTTCAAATTCCTTTTGGAAGTTGACTTGGTCTATCATTCTACTGGGGAAAGTAATATTGGTACCACCTTGTGGGAAAACAACAATGGTTATTCCATTAAGAAACTGGCCTCGACATATACATGTGGAATTTCCACTGCTGGTTTTAGGGTCGCCAATGCTTTGCCTTCATCTATATTGCTTAAAGTGATGAGTAGAATGCTCCGTGAATTATTAAATGACAGCAACGTCCTTTGTTTGTCCAGGGAAGTCTGAGTGAATCACAAGACTTGTTTTCCTGCATTGAGATATTATGCCAATTCATTTTTAATACAATGCATTATTAAAATTATTATTTTCAATAATTCAAACTATGAATTTGGCCAAGTTTTAAATGTGCTCAGTTATTATCGGCTCGACTGTTAAATGATTTAGGGACATTAATCTTTTAACTACGAATCATGTCTGTAGAACGCAAGCTCAAAGAAGATCGCAGAATTTAATTCACCCGAAAAGAAAGAACCACGACAGCCCATCAACGCACGCCGCTCCGACTCACACCGCACCGTGCCGGGGCTTTGCCTTGTCGGCAAACACACTAAAGCCAAAGCACCACGGTTAGACCCCACACCAACATTCACCAATACCTCGAGCAGCAGCAACAGCAGCAACAGCAGCAACAGTAGCAACAGCAGCAACACGGACTCTGACGCTGACGCGATCCCAACGCATTCCCAATTAACGTGAAACGTTGAGACCGACGTTCGGCTCGACGTTTCCAACCACGTGCCAACGTCAGGCCCAACGTCGCGTGTTTACTGGGGACTCGGCCGATACGAGGCCCTCGGACACAAAGAGGGCTTTCCCCAGTGGACCTGCATATCAAGCGGAGAAGCCAAACGTCGTTCTACCGTTACGCGCTCGTAAACGACACCATGGCTTGTCGTTTAAAATTCCACAAAAGGGAAGGTTCATCGTCGCTCTAGGAGGCCAACTCCCAAGTCACGCTGTCGTCATTCTGCTTCACGACCGCGTGGCAAAATAATTTTGTCCGGATCCGCCGCGCACCAGAGGGTGTTTATTTTTTTTACTTCATTTCATCGGATCTCATTTCTCTACGTATCATTTTTTTCGCAACGCAAATATGGAGCCAGCATGTGGGCTGCATGATGCATTCGCAGCAGACGAAGGCAATTGACGACGGGCCCAGAAATAGCCCTCACTTTGCGCGTAATTTAGAGTCAAATATGGGCAAACCACAGAGGCAAAGCAGGGTGGTCTTCACAATCAATGTAATAGCGAGCAGGCATATCCATTAAACGTACATTAATATTGTCCTCGCCAGGTGAGGCCAATACGTGTAATTGAATGCTCCCCTTTAAACCCATTTGGCTTCTCTCCACGTGCCGCGGAGCGGTTTGGACACCCGGGACGGTATCGAGCTGTTCGCTAGAAATGGACCGGCAGTATCAGTAATGATAGCCCTCCCTGAGGCCGCCTCGGGAAGGTGCTGCATTTGGGGATGTTTGGCCAATTCCTTGCCGAGTCATTTTTTTTGTTGCGTGGGAGGTAACCCAGAGGCGCCCGAAGAAAAGCCACTGACGCAAAGGATTAACGCTCTAATTCGAGAGGTTTGGCAACCTACTTGCTGTGCTGCATTCTCGACGGTCAACCTGGTCACCACGCAGGTGAATATCTCACGGATAAAACAATCTCTCCACGACCCACCAACCCTGATGGCCCAAAGTGCTGGATTGCAAGCTTGCGCATCATGCCTGGCATGTACAGATATGGCATTTAAAACTGGTCGTTGTCATCTTACGTGGGCAGCCCTTTCATGAGAAGGCCCATGTTTAAAATAAGGAAAAACACGTATGGCAAATGCACCTCAAAGCCACCTCGACCACTGCAGCTCTTTGTAATCCACACGTGATGTACCCAGACTCCAACGTGGTACAGACGGTGATCCAAGCGGGTTTTCAAATTCTCTGTGTCGGACGCAGCTGATGGAAAACATTTCACGTGGGGGCTTTGACGCAATAAAAATGTCTCACGAGTCAAACGAGCCCAGGGTTTCGAACCAGCGCTGGAAATTCCACATTGTCATGGCAGGAGCCAGTCTAGCGAAAGCACATCTACTGTTGACGTCCCACAAAGTGGTATGCCGAATGTAAACTCCACGTGAGAGCGTTGAGAACTGCCAACAGCACCACCCGGCCCAATTAATAAAGAAATAGATGTCGACAGTGAAAGCTAAAGTGGTCAACTTATAAACGCGCACTGGATCACAGTTTGGACGGATTGGCATCTAGTTACACACGTGGTAGACAACACCGTGACACTACAGATAAACAGCATTCATAGGAAGCGACCAACATGAACTGGATTTTATTGTTCGCTTGTCACCCTCCACTTCTGCAGCACTGCATGAGGACGGCTGCTTCGGCAAGGGTGGGCGGCGTTAGTAAGCGGTGACAAAGAGCAAGCTGGCATTTTGCGAAAAAGCTACATTGGCAATCCCTTAACGGAACCCCATCAGACAGTCGCCTTTCGTTCGTACGAAACCGAGAGTCAGACTTGCTCGCATTGATCCCTCACAAGGTCATAGAGTCTCCCTGCTCACACAGGCAACGGGGCAACGTTTCACTGCCACCGGCCGCTCTTGAACCGGCGGTGGAAATTCCACGTTCCTATAGGACAACAACAGCCGTTTGCTTAACTGCAAAGGGAGGGAATGTTTATACATTAAACCCGGAGGGACAATGTGCTCAATTGTCTCCGAAAAAGGGGATTTAAACTCACAGCGTTGCGATTGTAAGTCGCGTGTTTTAACCGCAGAGACACAAGGACACATTATGGTTCACAACATCACAGTTAAGAGTTCCTCCTGTTAAGCCTTGTCTCTACACTGGTGTGCGTATCAGGGGCACTTTTGGTTGAGCATTTGATAGCAAAGCGGCAAGATTGGTGTCACCGCAGCGATCAGCATGCGCCACGCATTCCTTGATGACCTGCTGTGCGTCATTGTCATCTATAATAATGCCTGCAATATTCCATACGTGTCTCCTACTTGCAAAACGATGACTGCACCTTGAAAGGCTCTCACCTGCGCCTGACTAATTGAACTGCTAATAGACTTGTTGACAAATGGGCAAAGCGATATAAAGTGGAATCACGCCGTTCCTTAGCTGGACAATTTGCATATTGAATTCGTGGGGGGGGGGGAATGAAAAGGTGGCCAGGTGGCTTTAGAGGTCAAATCACTGAGCCAGCACTGCTAAGAGCCTGGGTTTGAATGCAGATTTTAGCCACCTGTGGTTAAACCTGTGGTTCTCAATTTTAGCGAGTTCATGGTCTCTGGCCGGTCACGAACGACTGCACAGTACGGCGCCAGCTATCGCAGATTGCGGTTGTGTCGCTTCGGTTCTCTGCTGGGAGTACGGCGTCTTTTTAAAAACAACTGGCGCTATGCCTCTCTCTGAATGAAATGAAAGCTGAACAATTGTGCGTTCCGAGATTCAGACGCTGCTCGACGAAGATCCGCCCATGCGTGTGAATCATGGAGGTTACTTTTACCATGCTTCGCGACACTGGTCAATCTGGGATGGTGAATGGGAGGTGGGAAGGAGTGGCCCAGGACTGGTTGAGATATCATTCAGATATCACCCGCCACTGATGTCATAGTGCAGTGTGCTTACCATTGTGCCACCACTCCCCTCATGTTTCTTTATAGTGCAGTAGAACCTCGGAGATCGAACGCACCAGAATTCGAACAAATTGGTGTTCGAACGATATTTCCGAACATATTTTTTGCCCCGGAAACTGAACGAAATTTGGAGGTCGAACGGCCAATCGTGACTTGAAAGAACCTGTACGGCTGAGACTCGTATGGCCCAGCGTGCATGCCGCTTGCCCACACAAAGGTTTTACCACCTTCCTCCTCCTCACCACCTTCCACTCAAGCCATCAACTCTCCTTACTACAGGTAAAGTGAAGTTCAATGTTCATTTATTTCATTTATTCCATATATTTATTCATTTATTCCATTTATGTATTGTGTTTCTTGTTTTTTTGTACGATTTTATACATGTAATTACTGTAAACTTCGTGTAAAAATGCTTTATAATGAGATATTTCTTGTGCCTGGAACCAATTAATGTCTTTTACATTAATTCTTATGGGGACAATTAATTCGGTGTTCGAATGTCCTTCTGGAACGAATTAAGTTCGATCTCCGGGGTACCACTGTAAAAAAAAACTCGTCGTGTTTTATCAACTCGTTCACTATTACATTTACTAATTTATTGAAAATACAATGAAGTCTGTAATAATTATAATATAAAAAATATATCATCTTAGTTACATTCATAGAACAACATTATTGCCCTAAAGCTTCTAATGGCAATACAGAGTGATAAATAATCAAAATGTCAATGCTTGAACACTGCCTGTAATTAAACACAAATCACAAGAATCGTCTGTACTCCACAAGAGAAGCATGCGTGGCATTGGAATAGAGATGACCCTTCATCATCGTCGTCGTCAATAATGATGAATTCCCTGCTGGATGAATGCCTGCCCAACGTCACCATTAGTTTACCCGTAGATCTCCTCCCCAGTGTCCGCTAGAAAAAAAAACAACCGTCATGGTTATGCAGTAAAAGTCAAAGTGTTTCTGTGACCAAACTAGCAACAGGACCGCACTTATATATGTTGGTGGTCTTTGAGTAAGTGGTGGAAGTTCCTCATTCCTATGGTGGGGACCAGTCACTCCATAGGTTGTACACTGTATTCTTGGTTCTTTCGGTAAAGTCACGTAGAATAGATGATGATTGCTTGTGTTGCAATCGAAACGTCGTGAGAATTTTATTGTTTTATATTTTCATTATTTTATTGTTTCCCTTCTACGTGACTTTACAGAAAGAACCAAGAATATGAATCCCTGCAGTCACGAAAGCTTTAAATCAGTTTGTACACTGTTAACGTCCCACAATTTGGCGCTACTGATTTTATCCACCCCCGGGCGGATGATGGGAAGAATCCACTACCCAACTGGGAGTTGAAAGTCACAAATCTCCCGACTGGTGAGCCATCACTTTTGAGTGCATCACCAGCATGGCCCCACGACAAAATAAACACGCCCTGACCACACTGGGCGGTGGCAAAACCGATTCCCCGGGTCGCCACCTTTGAGGTACAAACAACAAATCAGGACAAACGTGGGAAGATTATCTCACGGCATCAGAAGAGGGGAGAAGTGCACCGCGAGCGGTGTGTTCTGACGCATTCGACAAAAACCCGAGGACGTTTTGGACCGTGACCTCACATGACCTCACATGGACGACAATTTTGGGAGAACCCAGAATAGGTGGCAACCGCAGCGACTACTCAGAAGGATTGATTGACTGTTTTCTGCGAGCGGGGAGCCCGCCCTGGGCTTGAGTTGACCTAGCGAGGAAACGAATGGTGGCACCACTCAAATCGTCTGCTGCTCTGATCTCTCTCTTTCAGTACTGGGCAGGGAGTGCGAAAGGGGACTGGCGAACGGACGCCGCTCGTCCGGCATCAACGACATCCTCACAAACGCCGACATCGTCGTCGCCGCCAACGTGACGATCGTTTTTAGCATCGTCGCTACCGTGATTGCCGGCACCGCTGCTGTCGCGGCGCAAAGCATCCGAGCTGCCGGAGCACCTACGTGGGGCATAGTGCTCGGAGCTCGGCTCGGCTGGGAAGAGCTCGCGCTCCGTGCTGCCGTCGTCCTCGTCCGCGTCGAGCCACCGCGCGCAGGCAAAGCGCAGGCGCTGGCCCAGCGACGGCGCGTCCACCTCCACCCAGTCGAGGAACCAGCCGGCCGAAAGGCCTGCGGGGTGAACAGAAATAAAAAAGTGGGCGTCCAGCGCAAGGTTAAAGGACGAAGATGGGGTCCTCACGTTTCGGACAAGTTTCGGTGAGTGAGATTCAGCGGACGTTTCAACACCGACTTCAACTGAGCAAAACATTTGGCAGATAAATCGCATGAACCAACAATGCATTCACCAAGATGGGTTGTACCATCATTGAAGGCATGAATGACAATCACTGGAAAAAGACAACCTAATATTGATTACTTGATAGCAAAACACACTCTTTCAAACATCATCCCTGGGTGGTCTTGAACCACCAACTTTGTTGGTCAACAAATGAACACGATAACCAATTGCACCACAGAGACAGCTGCAAGGAGCAACTTGCTGTTCCATGTTTAAGGAATGAATGACATTCGCTGTCGTAAAAACGAATCGAGTATTGACTTTGTGAAATAAAAATACACTTTCAAACAGAATCTCTGGGTGGTTAAAAGCTGAACGCGCTAACCAATTGCACCACAAAGACAACTCAACGACGCCACATGCTGTTCCGTGTTTAAGTAATTAATACAGGTAGGAACAACAGTTCCACACTGCCCACCAGGGATTATTTGTCTGTCTGTCGTGCATTGCCACGCCCTCGATTTGTATTTCATAGAGCACGTCGGGCGGGCTCAGCACCACGTGACGCGCCACCCCACGCAGCTTGCGCCGCGTCACACGGATCGCACGAATGCGCTGTCCAACCAAGTTCCTACCTGACCACTCCGAAGGAACGTGTTGACATTCGCTGTCTTAAAAAACAGATCTAGAAGAGACTTTCTGCACGCAAAAACTCTGCGAAAGTTCGTACCTGGGTGGGCTTGAACCACCAACCTTTCAGTTAACAGCCGAATGCGCTAACCAATTGCGCCACAGAGACAGCTGCACAGAGCAGCTTGATGTTCCATTTTTAAGGAATGAATGACATTCGCTGTCGTAAAATAGAATCTAATCTAGCAAGCAAAAAACCCTCCGAAAGTTCATCCCTGGGTGGGCTTGAACCACCAACCTTACGGTTAACAGCCGAATGCGCTAACCAATTGTGCCAAAGAGACAGCTGCAAGGAACAACTTGCCGTTCCATTTTTAAGGAATGAATGACATTCGCTGTTGTAAAATCGAATCGAATCTAGCAAGCAAAAGACTGTCCAAAACCTCGTCCCTGGGTGGGCTTGAACCACCAACCTTTCGGTTAACAGCCGAACGCGCTAACCAATTGCGCCACAGAGACAGCTACAAGTAGCAACTTGCTGTTCCATGTTTAAGGAATTAATGGCATTCGCTATCGTAAAATCGAATGGAACTAAGGAAGCAAAAAATCTCCGAAAGTTCGTCCCTGGGTGGGCTGGAACCACCAACCTTTCGGTTAACAGCCAAACGCGCTAACCAATTGCGCCACAGAGACAGGTGCAACGAGGCACTTGGTGTTCCATGTTGAAGGAATTAATGACATTCGCTGTCGTAGAAACGAATCTAGTATTTACTTTGTGAAATAAAATACACTTTCAAACAGCAGCTCTGGTTGGTTCAAAGCTGAACGCGTTAACCAATTGCACCAGAGAGACAACTCAACGACGCCACTTGCTGTTCCATGTTTAAGGAATTAATACAGGTAGGAACAACAGTTCCACACTGCCCACCAGGGATTATTTGTCTGTCTGTCTGTCGTGCATAGCCACGCCCTCGATTTGTATTTCTTAGAGCACTTCGGGCGGGCTCAGCACCACGTGACACGCCGTGCACAAATGCGCTGTCCAACCAAGTTGCTACCTGCCCCCCCCAGAAGGAACGTGTTGACATTCGCTGTCTTAAAAAACAGATCTAGAAGAGACTTTCTGCACGCAAAAAAATGTGAAAGTTCTTCCCTGGGTGGTCTTGAACCACCAACCTTTCGGTTAACAGCCGATCACGCTAAGCAATTGCGCCACAGAGACAGCTGCAATGTGCAACTTGCTGTTCCATGTTGAAGGAATTAATGACATTCGTTGTCGTAAAATCGAATCTAATCTAGCCAGCAAAAAGCTCTCTGAAAGTTCGTCCCTGGGTGGGCTTGAACCACCAACCTTTCGGTTAACAGCCGAACGCGCTAACCAATTGCGCCACAGAGACAGCTGCAAGGAGCAACTTGCTGTTCCATGTTTGAGGAATGAATGACATTTGCTGTTGTAAAATCGAATGGAATTTAGCAAGCAAAAAGCTCTCCGAAAATTCGTCCCTGGGTGGGCTTGAACCACCAACCTTTCGGTTAACAGCCGAACGCGCTAACCAATTGCGCCAAAGACACAGCTGCACGGAGCAACTTGCTGTTCCATTTTAAAGGAATGAATGACATTCGCTGTCGTAAAATCGAATCTAATCTAGCAAGCAAAAAACTCTCCGAAAGTTCATCCCTGGGTGGGCTTGAACCACCAACCTTACGGTTAACATCCAAATGCGCTAACCAATTGTGCCACAGAGACAGCCGCAAGGTACCACTTGCTGTTCCATTTTTAAGGAATGAATGACATTCGCTGTCGTAAAATCGAATCGAATCTAGCAAGCAAAAAACTGTCCAAAACCTCGTCCCTGGGTGGGCTTGAACCACCAACCTTTCGGTTAACAGCCGAACGCGCTAACCAATTGCGCCACAGAGACAGGTGCAACGCGCCACTTGGTGTTCCATGTTGAAGCAATTAATGAAATTCGCTGTCGTAGAAACGAATCTAGTATTTTCTTTGTGAAATAAAATACACTTTCAAACAGCAGCTCTGGGTGGTTAAAAGCTGAACGCGTTAACCAATTGCACCAGAGAGACAACTCAACGACGCCACTTGCTGTTCCATGTTTAAGGAATTAATACAGGTAGGAACAACAGTTCCACACTGCCCACCTGGGATTATTTGTCTGTCTGTCATGCATAGCCACGCCCTCGATTTGTATTTCTTAGAGCACTTCGGGCGGGCTCAGCACCACGTGACACGCCGTGCACGAATGCGCTGTCCAACCAAGTTGCTACCTGCCCCCTCCGAAGGAACGTGTTGACATTCCGCTGTCTTAAAAAACAGATCTAGAAGAGACTTTCTGCACGCAAAAAACTCTGTGAAAGTTCGTCCCTGGGTGGTCTTGAACCACCAACCTTTCGTTTAACAGCCGATCGCGCTAAGCAATTGCGCCACAGAGACAGCTGCAATGCACAACTTGCTGTTCCATGTTGAAGGAATTAATGACATTCGTTGTCGTAAAATCGAATCTAATCTAGCCAGCAAAAAGCTCTCTGAAAGTTCGTCCCTGGGTGGGCTTGAACCACCAACCTTTCGGTTAACAGCCGAACGCGCTAACCAATTGCGCCACAGAGACAGCTGCAAGGAGCAACTTGCTGTTCCATGTTTGAGGAATGAATGACATTCGCTGTCGTAAAATCGAATGGAATTTTGCAAGCAAAACATTATCCGAACGTTCGTCCCTGGGTGGGCTTGAACCACCAACCTTTCGGTTAACAGCCAAACGCGCTAACCAATTGCGCCACAGAGACAGCTGCACGGAGCAACTTGCTGTTCCATTTTTAAGGAATGAATGACATTCGCTGTCGTAAAAGCGAATGGAATCTACCAAGCAAAAAATTCTAAGAAAGTTCGTCCCTGGGTTGGGTTGAACCACCAACCTTTCGGTTAACAGCTGAACGCGCTAACCAATTGTGCCACAGAGACAGCTGCAATGCGAAACTTGCTGTTCCATGTTGAAGGAATTAATGACATTCGTTGTCGTAAAATCGAATCTAATCTAGCCAGCAAAAAGCTCTCCGAAAGTTCGTCCCTGGGTGGGCGTGAACCACCAACCTTTCGGTTAACAGCCGAACGCGCTAACCAATTGCGCCACAGAGACAGCTGCACGGAGCAACTTGCTGTTCCATTTTTAAGGAATGAATGACATTCGCTGTCGTAAAATCGAATCTAATCTAGCAAGCAAAAAACTGTCCAAAACCTCGTCCCTGGGTGGGCTTGAACCACCAACCTTTCGGTTAACAGCCGAACGCGCTAACCAATTGCGCCACAGAGACAGCTACAAGGAGCAACTTGCTGTTCCATGTTTAAGGAATTGATGACATTCGCTGTCGTAAAATCGAATGGAATCTCGGAAGCAAAAAATCTCCGAAAGTTCGTCCCTGGGTGGGCTTGAACCACCAACCTTTAGGTTAACAGCCAAATGCGCTAACCAATTGCGCCACAGAGACAGGTGCAACGCGCTACTTGGTGTTCCATGTTGAAGGAATTAATGAAAATCGCTGTCGTAGAAACGAATCTAGTATTTACTTTGTGACATAAAATACACTTTCAAACAGCAGCTCTGGGTGGTTAAAAGCTGAACGCGTTAACCAATTGCACCAGAGAGACAACTCAACGACGCCACTTGCTGTTCCATGTTTAAGGAATTAATACAGGTAGGAACAACAGATCCACACTGCCCACCTGGGATTATTTGTCTGTCTGTCGTGCATAGCCACGCCCTCGATTTGTATTTCTTAGAGCACTTCGGGCGGGCTCAGCACCACGTGACACGCCGTGCACGAATGCACTGTCCAACCAAGTTGCTACCTGCCCCCTCCGAAGGAACGTGTTGACATTCGCTGTCTTAAAAAACAGATCTAGAAGAGACTTTCTGCACGCAAAAAACTCTGTGAAAGTTCGTCCCTGGGTGGTCTTGAACCACCAACCTTTCAATTAACAGCCGAACGCGCTAACCAATTGCGCCACAGAGACAGCTGCAAGGAGCAACTTGCTGTTCCATGTTTGAGGAATGAATGACATTCGCTGTCGTAAAATCGAATGGAATTTAGCAAGCAAAACATTATCCGAACGTTCGTCCCTGGGTGGGCTTGAACCACCAACCTTTCGATTAACAGCCAAACGCGCTAACCAATTGCGCCACAGAGACAGCAATTTGCTGTTCCATTTTTAAGGAATGAATGCCATTCGCTGTCGTAAAAGCGAATGGAA